AAAGGCGACAAAGGCGCCAGCATACGATCCACCATAGGCGATCCAGGGAGTCGTTTTAGATGTGAGATTTACATGCTCTAGCCCGGGGAAGACGACGTTGGAAGCGAAGTATGCATAATCGGCCAAGGCCTGGTCCGTTGAGAGAAAGCGGATATTCTCCGCTGTCAGATCGTCTACCGGGTAACTTTTGCCGTAATAACGATGCTCTAGAATGACTCCAATGCCGTGGTATTCGGCCGCTAATTCGGTGACGATGCCCTGCGATAAGAAAGGGAAACGGGCGGTCGCGTCGGTTTCTCCAGCGGCGATCACAAACACGGGGCCCCCTTCCTCGTAGTGTTGAGCGTCGAACCAGTATCGCAGGTCGAAACGGTCATCGCTGTGCGGCGCATAGCGCGAGTCATTATGGAAATGGTCAACCGGTACCGAGAGATAGTACTCGGGGTATTCAGCTGTTGCTGATTGCTGCTTTACTGCTGATTCCCGGGCCAATTGTTGTGGTTGCTTTGCGCGAAGCTCAGGATACGCCAGTTGCAAAGGCGTGTACTGGAATGCCTGCACCAAGGGAAGCAAAGACGCCGCCGACAACAGCAATTTCAGCGACGGATGCATCGTCACAAGGTAATGTTGTCGGAAATTGTGAGGAAAGTTGGGAGCTAGCGTATGAAGATATCGGGGAATTGACCTTGCATATAAACATGCCGGTTAGCCGCTGTTTGCCGACAATGCGATGGTTTACCCCTCTCGCTGGCATGCGATCAGTCCTTGGGGCCATCAGTTCCCCATCGGACTCCGTGGGAGTGGAGATCCTTGGCGGACTCTCGCCATAGTGCAACATGAGGATCCAATGAGGGTCCTCATCAATCAAAGGCAGATGTCGATCACTGCCCCGTACCTGAGGCCACCGGCAAAAGGCAGCGGCCCGGTGACTAGGTCGTTGTTCATGCTGTATTGCATGAAGAGGGCTTTTATTCGGATATACAGGTTTGATAAGCAAGTGACAATCTTTGATGAGGCTCCTAATTCATTGCGTGTGCTCTTCTATCCGGGGAATGCAGCGTTTTATATTTGAATAATCCAACGGTGTGGTGTGGGTATTTTATTCAGTTTGTTTGTTTCTCAAATGCCCAGTGATCCTACTACTATCCCTATATAGGTTAGATGGTATCTCAACAAGCTGGAATGTTTCTTTACCGAGGGCGGTAGACTATCTGGACAAATGGGAAGTACCCACGCAGGAAACCTTTCCTTAACGGGCTGGCGTGTCTGGCAGAACCACGCGATAGAGTTGAAAAGCTTCAAGGTTCGCGTCATGTGTATTTTGCCCTGTTTAACCATCTTAATGTAGAAGGCGGTAAGGCATTTTTTCAAACTCCTCGAGTCTACTGGGAACAACCTTGGAGCCGGAAATTGTAATTCAATACCCTAAATCGAAGACCTATGAAGCTGTCCGACTCTCATATGTATATCCCGTCGTCCATGCGAGGACATTATATATGTCTTTACTAGCAGCATAACCCCCATGATCCTTTCCCTGGTGGACTATAATTGCTCAGGCGAGTCACGAGTGGTATAAATCGAGGCAGCAGGCCATTGCGGTAGCCTTCTTCTAGTATGAAGTTTTGAGGCCTGTGACGTCTGTCCTGGGTGAGAAATAGTACCCTGAGAATGTGTCCATTTGTCAAGATCGATCCGGATGAGCTCGAGAACCATGAGTTGCTCATGTACAATGCTCCATGTATCAAACCTGATCCAGATGGCCATGATGGAGCTGAGCCGATTCTGCAGAATGTTCCATCGTTCAAAGCTGATCCCGACGGACGGGGTCACGAACTAACTCTTCACAATGTACCATCCGTCCAAGGCGATTCGGATAATCATGAAAATCATGAACCGGTACTGGGCAACGTTCCATCCGTCGAAGCCGATGTGGATGAACTCGAGGACCACGAACAGATCCTTCACAATGATCTTCTTGCCAGCATTGGCATGCAGGAAGAGCGATCCCCGGTCGCTGATGCAAGCCATCCTTCTCCTCGGCAGGTAGAGAAATATCAAGGCGCAGATCTAATTAGTAACTTAGAGATAGCCCTGGTTCCGCGTCTGTCACACCTCCGCCAACCCGCGCTCTGTCTGTGACTCAGGCAGCAGCTACACCCCCCCCCCGTCTCTTCTTCATTTACATCCCGTGAAGAGTTCATCCAATCAAAGTTTGCTGACCAGCCTCGTCTGCCTTGGAACTGGAGCAACAAAGCCAAAAATAGACAACCTTATACGCCCACCGCAGTCAGAAAGTGGTGGTATCGCAGCTCGCAGGAGTTAGAGGCTCTTGCTAAAGACAAGCGTCGTAACATCGAGCATGTCGACCGCATTATGGAAACTGAACTTGGGAAGCAGGAAAGAGGGACCTTGCTAACGTAAAGAGCACACCTTTCTGAAGGAGTTCGCTCACAGCATATGCCGCAAGACTACTCAACATACTAAGAACACCCCGTACACATACTGCATCGGCCAGGGCAACACAGCGTTTCCATGTCGATTAAAGCATTGTGTTGGTAGATAGGTGGGTAGGTAATAAGGTTGAGTAGTTGGCACGCAGATAGTAAAGGCATGGTGCTTTGAAGTCTAGAATCTAAGCCCCTCTAGTGAAATGTTGGTGAAAACTCTTCCCTAGTCGAGAATGACGATTTATATGGCTTTAATAACGATTTTCTCTATGGCAGTTTAGGTGGAGATCAACTTAGTCCCCTGATTGGAGATGACCAAAACTTGGATCCCCACGCCGTGTTGGCTGGTCACAGAGACCCAGTTGTATTGATTGACCCGTGTCTAAATAGGATACTTACCAAAGGTGTTTCACTCGTGGCTTGAGCAGCTCTGAGCACACGAGGAAGCCTCATTCTAAAGTCATAGCAAATGCGACTGCAACCCTTGAACCCCACTGTGCTGGGATATAGGGCCCACAAAATAAACCAAGTTCACTCGTGGAACACTTATTGAAGATATCATACATACTTTCTATACGGCTTTATGCCAAAGACTCATACCGAAGCCTGCTGAAACCGTACCACACAACCCCCAGACTCAACCAAAATTATTAACTGTTCCTTCGCCGTCGCTCATTTGCCACCCTTAGCCCTCGAACCATGGAGCTTATTCGAGATCCAGTGGCTCCTATGGTCAACATGGCTCCTATAATATACGTGCATACTTCAGCCATGCACCGTATCATGTTGCCATCGGGTTCAGTGCTACAGGTTTCGACGATTTGTTCGACAGCTTCTTGACCGTAGAAGACCTGATATAGAAAGAGCCGGACGGCGAGCGCGTAGTGGCTTGTGATGCAATAATAGAAAAACGGAACAAGCGCAGTTGCCAACAAAAGCTGTATCTTCATGGGGAATTTGCTAGCTGCGAATGTTAGCGAACACCATGAAAAGACAAAACAAGCTGAGGAAGTACCTTGATATATCTCAAGATACAGAACACCTTTTGTACAACTCCCTCAGTCCCAGCTTCTTCACAGACAACAAAAAAAGAACAAAGAGAGGGTGTCTATGAGAGCGAGGTAACCAGTAAGTGCGAAATTTGTCCTTTTTCTACTTCAAGGAAAGCGCCGAAGAAACGCAAAAGCTTGTCACCTTCCAAGCTTTTTCCTCAACAAGCAAAAGCACCGAATCTTCTGTGCTGGTTGGGCGGAAGTGGGCGTAAATACTTACTGTGGTAGACTGGTGTCTCACCCGATCGCTGTAACCGAGATGATGCACCACCCAAGCGTTTTCCTTAACAAGCAAAAGCACCGAATCTTCTGCGCTGGTTGGGCAGGAGTGCGCGTAAATAGCGTGGTAGACCCGCATGGCTCGATCTTTAGTAAGTAGATTAAAGTGGGGACCGTGATGGCTTCAACCATCAGCCCTACTACCATTCTGTATCTCCGCGAGTTAAGTAAAATATTCATTTCCTGCGTTGGGGTTCAAAACAGGTCCGGCTTTCTGGAATCATATTTAGGGCTAATCTGATATAGTCTGTTCATTGGATTTGTATTCAGCGGATTTGGATCTTCAATTTTTTTTCTTATTCTTGGGGTGCCCTTGGGGAATTTGTATGAGTTGAGGAAGACTTATGACTTAGTATGCAAGGCTACGATGAATGGCAGGGGTATTGGGGGCTTTTCCCCTAACTATAAGCATCGGAGATGAAGTTTGTTTTGGCAGAGTGCTGCTAGTATCCATCCTTGCTGTATTACTGCTTCTAGAGCGTTTGGAGCCCACTTCTTCTTTGCCAAAGGCAGATAATGCTTTCATACTCACTGGATTCATATTCTACACTAACGAGTTTGCTACCATTCAATGAGGGTTCCCTTGGACCAGAATCCGGATATATCGGATGTTGCGAGATTTAATCTTGTTTTCCTACAAACAACAAGACTAGCGCAGGAAAGGGTATAAAAGCCCTGTGATCACCCAACACTTACACAGCAGCAGTACGAGCAACAGAGAACCCTCAAGGTAGGATTTCCTCCTATTCAAAGCTTGCTTTCCACTGACATAGGCAGATGATGTCCAAAATCTCCAAGGCCTTCATTATCCCCGCGGTATTCGCGTTCAGCGCCTACGCCGCCACCACCTTCAGCCAGGTCTACTATGGCGCGGCTCGGTTGTACGCGTACCAGCACTTCGTAGGGAACGGGTACATCGCAAACATTGTGGAAGATTGCAACGTCAAAGAAGGCGACACGAAGCTCAAGTACATTCAGTGTGCCGCAGACGCCCTGACGTACATGCTCGGAGCGGCGGTGGCCATCGGGGCGACGACCTCACGGGCAGGCACGGCAGCTGAGTACATCGCGAACCAGGGACAAACACTTTGGGCGCGCGATGAGAACGACGTGCCACCAATGTGGAACTGGACCGCCATTGCCGACAACGAGGACAACTTCTACGATTTCCTGGGCACCCATCTCCCGGGCGACACTATTCTGACGGGAGGCAATCTCACGCATTTCGGGCTGGAGGGTAATGCTGCCGTCGCCAAGCAACATGAGGGCCACATCTACGTGCATGCCAACAACGTCACCCATGGCGTGGTTGGTAAGTACCGCTTCCCTGAGCAGGATGGCACCACCAAGCGGACTACCTATACCTGGGACTTTGGCAATATGGCTGGAGTTAAGTACTCGTACGATAATGTGTGCGGTAATTACAAGAGTCAGTATGACCAGACTTGGATGCATGGACTTTACGAGCTCTCCTACAACTTTATGAGCTGGGCTTATAATAGCGAACCGGCTGATAGCTACGCTGTTATTCTTTATGATGAGGCTGATGCGGACTCACCGTTTGTCAGTGGGTATCTGATTGCTGAGACGAATGGTTTTGGTACAAACTATGAGGGAAGCCCCAGCCCTCAGGGCATGTGCCATGCTTGATGGTTCTGAGTTTTTATCGGGTTTGTTGTGAACACCTAGTCGTTCATAAATGGTTGTCGCTTGACAATGAGCTTATCCAAGTATTCCTTTACAGGGTTTAAATGTTATTATCCTTTAAATTGACTGTATATTTACCTAGATATGATCTTAAAAAGACAGCTATTCAAGTTGCACATACTTCCCCACAGTCAAATCCAGTTCCGGAATGAAGCTCCATACCAAACTAGTTAGTTCTATTATATAGCCTGGTCCTGGCTAGGACAGTCACTCATAGTTCTTTACCTTCCAGCCAACCACAAACAGACTCCTTCACAACTTTTATCTACCCTACTCCCTGTGAAATGAAAAATACCCTCCCCATCCACACGTCCTCATGAACCTACTTTTAATACCCCACACTAGTAACCGTACAGTTGGATGTCAAGTCTTACGCTGTCAGATTGACCACATTACATAGTCAACCAACTCTAGAGCTTGGCCGTACACATTCGCCAATCAATCTAGCGGACTCCATCGACAATAATGTATTGCCCCCCTCGCGGACAGCCGGTGCAACATCGCTCAGCCGACGGCCATCAACCAACTTGAATAATATTTCTGGCGTATTGGCCTTGGCGGCACGCCCTAATCTGACCTGATGCTGATCATTGAGAGTTCAAAATGATAAGGGCTTCATCAAACGAAAATACCATAGAAAGACTTTACGACACCGAGAGCAGTTAGTCTGTATCGTGATTCGTGCGCCACTTCCTCATGTTCTAGATTCGCAACTTTTAACCGATGCCAATGAGCACTATTTACACATTGCTCTGCTGATCGGGATTGGAAATTGAACTTTACCGGCTCCACGCGCAAAGTCAGATAATCTAAAGTACCAGCACCAAGAACCATGTACCTCCACCATACAAGGCCTCATGCGTTATCTCCCACTATTACGTTTTGAGTACAGATACATCTCTGTGTTTTGTCAATCGCATCGTTCTACAGATTGTAAGCCTCTGTGTTCGGTCAAAATCAGCCCAGAGAGTGCGTGCGGCCTTGCAAGGAAGAGTAAAAATGTTTCGGTGATTCCGACACCAAAGCCCTTCCAAGGTGGGAGTATTATTCTTGATCCATATCACACACATATTTAGTAAGATTTCGCATCATCCTGTACCAAAGTAATGAGTTGGGCGGTCTATAATTAATTTCCGCTCCCTTGGATCCCTCTGTTCTTGGCTTCGTATTCTATTTTTTACACGAAGCTGTTTCCACGGCTTTCGAGCCAATGCATTGTATTTTTTTGGAAGGGTCAATCTATGACGTTTAGCCAAGAGTGACTACCGAGAAATGAAGGATAAACTAGTTCTACGACTTCAGGATACGACCCACTGATGTAGAAGGGTCAGCTTGCAAAAAATAGGACGGCAACACAATAAAAACATGCTAAGAGACCCAGACCGGATGCTATACTTGGAAGATTTTATCCTTTGTGAAGCATAAATCAAGAGTAGAAACTTCCGTAATTTATTTCAATCCTATGGTATATTCCCAGCATGCTTCGTAGTGGGAAAACACCAAATAGCTACACTCATCATCGCTGTCGGGATATAGACAACCCTACCTATTTTCAAACGCATATAGAATCATTCAGAGTAGTATCATATTAGGGGAAAGAGGCCGTCTAGTACAAACTGTGGTCTAGATCATATAGCTTGAGCTAGCTCAACTACGCAGTGGTGTGACAAAGCCTTGCATACCCTTTCATTGGCCTTGATTCAGGGCCGCTCCTTGATTACCAAAGATGTACCAAAGATATCAAATGTCACCAGGTGTACATACTTTTGCCTCTGCAAAAACATAAACATTTGCGAGCTTACTCCTATGGCTCCCCCTTGCTATCACTGACACATAAATACCCCCATCCCTCCTGTCTGAGATGGTCTTCCATTCTTCCTTCTAATCCGTACTGGATACGTACATCAGCTATCTCATTTTCTCTAAACGACTCTAGTGGACATTACCATGTTGCTTTTGAACTTTCTCACCTATACCGGCATAGCCGCTGCTATGACCTGTAACATCATCGGTCCAGGCTCTGGCAATTGCCGTTCCTGCCCATCTGATAACTGCGATATCAAGAGAAAATTCAATACCGGAAGCAAACAGGACTTCGGGTGTGTCTGGCCTGATGGTGGACCGGTTAATGGCAGAAAGTAAGGTTCTCCAGTTGAAACCCCCGCATACGTTTACCAATACCATGATGCTAATTCTCACCGTACCTGAAGACGCTGGGGTTATAACAAGGCGCATGACTGCTTTGTGTCAGAAGTAAGGCTCGGGAAATGCAACATAAGTATGCTTGGAAGGTACCCTGATATGCTGCATGAACCAAGAAGACTCACTTTTTTATAGACGGCGTAACGGATTGTGTTGTGTCCTTTGCTCAGGGCTTTGCGCCACCGCCCTCTTAAATTTCACTTATAACCAGGATGACCGCATTGTCGGCAAATCTCTCAGTCCTGCAATATCTGCACACAGTCACCGTACCCCCCTTTTCGTTTTTGTTCAGTTCCTATTTGATTTTCAAGGAAGGAGTTCATTTGGGAAATCCTCTATTCTATTCCCCATGGAATTCAACTAGGAAAAATTAAATTCTTCTATGGGGTATGTAGCTATGTATTAATGCAATGCCTTCTTATATATCTAATAGCAGGAAGCATCCTATTGAGACAAACCAGTGGTGGGGAATTGTAGTTCACATGACTAGGCTGGTTCGAGTGATAACATCGATTATGAGATGTTCTTGTAAAGGAACAGGTACATGTATCCTTTGAGCGCCCATGCTCACTTCTAGTAGAGGTCTGCAATAGCTTAATAAGTCATCTTAGCTCAATGATGATTTTTCTATACCTCTCCTGTTTTGCGTCTGGGTAGGGTGGATTAACTTCGCGCCCTCTTTCCCCCACTTCGTATGTCCATAGCAATGGAATGTAGAAAGATGCACCTTGTTGATGATGAATATATTGAATTAAGAATTTGCTAAGTGAGTTTAATACTCGATAACAGAGAGTGTACGTATTATAGAAAGATTGGTAAGAAGCAAGTTGCGTTAATTGCATAGCAACACGGATCTCCTAGTACACACACAGTCTCTCTCTCTCTCTCTCTCTCTCTCTCTCTCTCTCTCTCTCTGTATCTCTGTATCTCTGTATCTCTGTATCTCTGTATCTCTCTCTGTCTCTCTTGTCAAACCAGAAAAGGCGAAGGAGACCATCAAATATATTGTCAGCATATAGGACGCCTCAATATAATAAGAGCAGCCAGTATGTCTACTACATTTGGACGGACCACACACGGTAATCGACGGCGGTCTCGACACTCTCCCTAAGCTGGTCTACAGCGCTGAATACCATCTTGATGTTTGAAGCTCGATATAGAGGATGCGTAAGACATAAGCAGAAACAGCGATAGTATGGATTATCGCGCTGGAATATCGATGGTCTGCAGAATTTCCTCATATGGAGCTTAAACATGGCTCAATGTAATAGCGATAGTCTCCATGGTTTCAGACTTGGCACACCAGCAACCATCGATCCCTGGCCATTCAACATGAAGCGTCCTAGTAATTATCGCGGTTAGCGCTCATGCTAATCCGCAACTAGGCCTCTCTTATCACGGCGCGCCATGAGACTGAAGTAATGCGTGGGCTCCCCATGAGTGATGCGGCAACCGGCGTCGTATCGCTCGGAGAAGTTAATGTGGTCCCAGTACTCCTTATCAGCCTTGACAGTTGTTTTCATACAGTCCAGACACAGTCCATCGAAATACTTGGCCGTCACTTTGATCGCCTTTTCAACTCCCACCATCCAATTGAAATTGCAATCAAAACAGCGTCGTTTGGATATCCCTCGGAGCATTCGCTCATGATCGAAGAATCGTAGTCGAGTGAGATAGCATTGGATACTGACGCGGGAAAACGACCCCTCCTCCATTGGCTGAACCTTGATTCTGCCCAGTTCCCTCAGGTAATTGAAAACGGTTTCATCCTTACAGCCACAAGAAGCATTCTCAATCAGTGAGTTGATCTTCGCAAATAACTCCCGGTTAAGGACATTTCGGAGCCGTCCCTTGGCGGCATTCACCTGTTCTTTAGGGGCGCCAAGCTTGTTAGCATATACCTGCGGTTGTACGTGTCTTGAGAGGGCAGCTTACGGATAATCCTCGGCGGTAGATGCAATCGGACGTTCTCGATCGGGTTAATCTCCATGATGTGACCCTTCTCTTCATAAGCAAGGCTCCTTGTGAGGACCTGGAAACCTTGTGCGTAGTCAAAGGCGTAGCAAGGGAGCATCAACTTGTTGGCAAGGCTATCGTGATGTAATCCCCCAGCTGTCGCATTGCGGAACCATCTGATGAACCACTCCTGCAACTCATCTCGGTCAAATTGGTACTTGTCGCTGGCGAGTATGACATGCCATATGTCCGCGACGGAGATATCGTCTAATAGAATCGCATCTAACGTGCAGTGATAAGATCGAAGCCATATCTCCATACTTCTCACGGTGTCATCTTCCAAGACAATACTGTCGCCCTTGGACTCAGCCCACCTGCCTCCCATCATGGTCTGGAAGTACCTGCTTGAGTTTACCAAGACGTCCCTTTTCACGTGCATCAGAGCCGTTCTCTCGAGCACTTTCTCTCCGTCTTGTCGCGAGTACTGGTCAATCTGAATCGTGAGGTCACTTTGGGGGGTGATCGTGATTGTATCCTGCGGAATCCATCCGTGGTTGAGTGGGGATGACATTGTCGATGAACGCCTTTAAAATGACAGACTATTAGCAAAAGAGTAAACTTGTCAACCTTCCATCACTCACCTCGACGATTCGACTAGTCGTAGGTAGGATTATTGTAGTTCTGCGGAGACTTTCAAACGACAATCCTGTCGGAGGTGAAGTCTCTCTCTCAATGTTCGAAGAGACGTTTGTGTTGTGAAAGCGAGTATAATAAGCTCGACACTCTCACACTGTCCATACAGGTAATGGTTCACGAGAAAGTCGTTGTACAATCTCAGTCGAGCTCCTGACGCGTCACTGAAGAACTCGTTGAGCTTCGTTCTGGTCACTTATGTGAGACGGGTCAACACGTCAAAAGAGATATCTGTAAGGAACGAGACGAAAGGGCCGATGCTAGTTTGAATAGGATGAGAGGAGATCGGAGAAGAGAAAGAGAGAGAAGAAAGAAAGGAGAACAAAGAGGGCTTGTGGTTGGGTTTGGCAGTGAATATCATTCAATCATCCAGCCCTTCTCCGTTGTTGGATCCTCATTCGGCCGGCTCGGTGAGAAGTTATCACTTCTAGTCGAGTCGTTTCGTTTCCAACAGAGCTTACTAACTATAATGTATCTTGGCCAGCGACATCTCCATCGTTCTTTGGGTCTTGAGAATCAACTCACAACTCTTTATTTCTTCCACCCCTTGTCGACTGTTCCGGTCTAATGATGGTGAGGATGGCTTTCGAAGCGTGGCAGCCCCAAAGCGAGACTTGGACTGAGGCCTGATGTTGAATCTTTCTCTCATTGTTGGAAGGATAACTGAGGAAATCAGATGGCTCCAGTAGGGAACGGGCACTCATTTAGGTGTGAAAGAAAGGAGGATTTCAGCGACAACCGGTGAGATTTTGCTCCCTCTTACAATATCTTGGAGTATATCTTTGGTCCCCCGAAGGTGATACTGCCTACCTCAGATCACTAGAGATATCTGAATATGTAAATGTCATCTAGTCCTGTATTTTCAGGGTCGATCCCGATGTTTGTATATGTCAAGGGGTCACAAGGCCTTGATTCACCTCCACATGAGCACAACCGAACAATATAGCATATCTCAAATAGGCGTATCTCAGGTTCCTTGAGAGTTGAGCATGAGGGGTTTGGACCAGCGGTGCAACAGGATTTCAGGCTAGATGGCCATACTGGACTATCCAAAATTACCAAAAGTCTCAAGCCCATACTCGTGGTATGAAAGGAGCAGGACGAAAGATAAGAAGGTGAAACTCTAGCAAAACAGTGGTGGGTATACAGACATAACCGATATCACACTAACATGTTGGCTATCTAGTCACGGCTATATCATTGACATCGATTCATTCCCTGGTGTGACTCTCGAATCATTCTGCGTGCATTTGCTATCACCATCTTAAGTCAGATGATATCCTATGAACGGTGTTTGATACCGATACTGTCTTTGTGCGAGCAAGACAGCATTATCCTTGCTCCCGACTCGGATATACCGTCGCCCTTGCAGCCTTTTGACGTAGTTATTGGCGGCCAGTGAATAGACAACTCTACCACTGGTGTCTCGTCCCGTGGCCCTTCACAGGCTGATTGTTACCTTGACTGACACAAGAATAATGCAACGATTCTCGCTCATAAGTCTAAGGATTCTCTACTATTTGTAGTCTAACCTCTTCTTCTGTTTACTGCACTCTGCCAGTCAATATAACTCACAATAAGCCGACTATAGTGTGTCTTCCGCAGGAGGCTATTGACCAGGTATGGTCTACATACCATCGGACGTTATTAAGGCGAATATGGGGGTTTAGATCGTCATGTTTGTTGGGCATGAACGTGGATCAAGTGGGGTACTCAAAAGCCTACGACTAGTTAGCAGACTATATTATTATAGCGTATTGCGTGATCTCTTTCGGGACTTCTACATAAGACTAGAATATGCAGACTATACCAAGTCCGATAGGCGAGATTATATTAAGGCATTCCTAGAGCTTTCCCGGTCTGGAGCCAGTCGCTTCATGCGGTTCATGCAAATTTCCGGTCCCAATCACATGGCATTGTCTGAACTGACTGAGGAAGAAGAAGAGGAAGAACTGGCGGGTACGATTGCGAACGCCCTTCAGGGCGATACGCGACCGAACCTCGAAAGCACTGGATCTTTACAACATCGGCGATTCAATGCTGCACGATTTCTGCCAGCCTGCAATGGTCCCTATTATCGCTGGTCTCCGGTATCTCAAAATTATCGGATGTCGAGGTCGCTCCAACGGTGTGGAGATAAGAAACATCTTGCAATACTGAGAGACTGTGTGAGCAGTAGAGTGGATCAACTGCGCAACCTTCGTCGATGGGCCTACTAGTATCATTCTCCCTAACGCCCCGTTGGAGCGCATCAGACTCAACGGTATGTCTGGCAACACAGTTGCCTCTCCACTGTCCCTGCTAGCCACTGTCTGCAATGCTAGGAATACAATACGATACCTGAGTGTTTACCCTGTGAAGTGGCAATCCGCTGCGTTAGAAGAGCAGCTCGATGAGTTGGTGGGAGAGCTTACATCTTGTCCCTTCCTCTATCATCCTAATATAGGCTTGTTCGCCGAGTCTCTTGTCAGACGCTATGGCTGCAAGTCCATTTCACAGGTCTTAAACCCTCATACGAAAAGGGTAATGCCAACAATCATTTCTAGGGAAATGCGGTTCTATGGGCGCTACCCGGATTACTGACGGCTCTTGCAGCATGATTTGATAAAGCTTAAAGTCTGCTCTATTGATGACCTTTACCGATAGAAATGAAGCCCAGTCTTGATTGCTAGAAAGGATATTATGCAAGACAGGACGTTACTTCCCGAGCTTGCTACTTGGACAGATCCCCATTGAGTCCAAATGAAGCACACAATAGGATACGTATGCCCTCCGCTAATACGCCCAATAAACTCTAGCCCTGTGAATTGGAGAGTTAAAATCCACTTCAAAATCTGAATGTCGAACTGACCGGGGTGGCATAAGGAGGCTAAACACAATTCGCAGTTTGTTGCCGACATGGAGTAGAAGATCAAGACGATCCGCACCCGTGCCCGCCAGGGGGGTGGTATTGGTTGGTCAAGGCTATCTCCATATTGTTTACTTCCGCGACGTCCATGTTCAACCGGGTGCTGAAACGGTGTGAGGGGAGATGTTCGCTAGTTCAACGAATGTTAGATATCACAGTCATATTTTATCTCAGGTCGATTGAAATTCCCTCCATACCGGTATTATCAGCATCTACCTCCTATCGAAAAGACCCAAAAATAGCGTCCCTATCACCGTCAAAACAGGCGCGTACCCCCAATGATTCCACTCCCCCCTCCCATGTGTCCAACAGACAAACCCGTCGACATATGCTACCGCGCTGGTCGCAATCATGATCCAGCCGACAGACTTTGGGTGGCCGAAAAAAAGAGCGGAGAACAAGGCCACGCCCATGAAAACATCTCTCGCGCCGTAGACCACCATCAGGCTGTTCACCAAATCCCTCTCCGCCGGTGAAGTCGGTACCTCGAACTCGAAGAAGCTCAACGCATGATCGGGACGTATAAAGGCATTGATTCCGAATCCGATGGGGATGGCGGCGAAGGCACTGGCCACGAGGCGAAGCACGGAGGAATCCGAGGCTGGCATTTTTGTGTTATTGGTTCCTGGGCTGTGGTTGCTGGTCAGTTTTATTGGTTGTCGAGATCGAGACGGACATACAGAGAATTTCTTCTTTATATTTCTGTGTTTTATGCTGAGTCAGGATGTTGGAAGATGCAATGATAATGGTCTGGACGTGGAGTGGGAAGGGATGTTATATATCATCTCTTGGCCGTGCCTTGTTGCCTAGTTGTCAGCCTATTCCCCACCAACCCTCGACTAAGACGTTTCTCCATGCTATGTATAATCCATATCTTCTCTTCGAGCCCCTTGGCGCTATCTTATTATTCTTAGTGTGTGACACATACACACACACACTTTCTATATAAGCATAAAGTAACATAATGACAAACTACACGATTCTTGTCTAGAACTAAATATCTAAAGGCAAGACCACACTAGCGACTGCAACAGGCGAGGCTGCAAAAGACCAAGGTGATATGAGTCTCGGCGATGTCAGAACGATCCTTCTGAGATAAACTGACTAGACCTTCTAAAAGCACATTCCAAAAATTCGAAAAACGGGGATAGCAATGGCTGCCTTTGTACCGCAAGGAGCAAGGATTAGGGCTTGATGCCAGAAAAACGCAGATAGGCTATTGGCATTGCTGATTTTACTCACAGAATGTGGTTATTCTAGCTCTGAATGCCTTTATACAGGAGATGCTTTCTAATTAATAGTTCATTGTTTCCATTTCAGACTGACTTGGATCATATAGTCCTACTATTTTACCAGGAGCTTTGGTTGCGATTGATACCTTGTAGCCAACCCAGGTTTCCAAAATACGTATCTGGCCTCTTAACGTGTCAGGCAGTCAGCATTTTATATAATTCAACGTTGGATAATTGAAGGTGTACTCCTACACTATGTCCTCCCTTCAAATTGACGGTGAGCTCTCCGATCCGTATATCCTCAGCCCCGCAGTAAGGATCGCATGAGCCCCGGCTAACGTTTCTTTTTTGTTCTTGTTTGATACACAACATACTGATGGGTCTAACCCTGGCTATCGCTGGCCTATGTTGGTCCTTTCAAACGTGTCTTCCCCTCTTTTCCTTCTACCCCGCACCGCCTAGGCCATATAAATATATTTCTACAGGATATAGTGTCCTGCACTTCACGACACGCCATCACTACATCGTATACTGACACAGTCACAGAATACTGATAACGGTTAAAGATTATACTCGTTTCAACATGTCCGCAGGTGTCGCTTCTCCGAATGCCAATGCCACCACCGGCAGCAGCCAGACTGGGGTGAGATTCTTCTATCGGAGCATCTCCGACATATTCCCAGTATCACCTACATTCTGGACATGAACGTAGCTGACAAGCAAAAAGCTCGACAACAGACCGACGATGAGGGCTCTAGTGTATACAGGACCAAACAAGCTCGACGTACTCGATCGACCCATGCCAGTCATACAAGCCCCCACAGATGCAATTGTGAAGATGCTCCACAGCACTATCTGCGGTACCGACCTACACATTCTGAAAGGCGACGTGCCAGCAATTCCATACGATCGAGTTCTGGGCCATGAAGGTGTAGGTATGGTTGTATCCGTCGGATCCGCTATTGATGGGCTTTCGGTTGGCGACAATGTCGTGATTGCCGCAATCACCGCGTGCAAAGTTTGCGCATCCTGTCGAAAGGGGTTGGAAGCTCATTGTCTAACTGGTGGCTGGCAGCTGGGTAATAAGGTCGATGGAACGCAGGCAGAATATGTCCGCATCCCACACGCCACGTCTTCTTTGTATAAGATTCCCCATGGTCTTGACCTAAGAGCCTGTGCTGCTATCTCGGATGCACTTCCCACGGGTTTGGAATGCGGAACCGTTAGCGCTCATGTACAACCGGCCAGCACAGTTGCAATCATTGGGGCCGGACCCGTGGGCTTAGCTGTTATGCTGACTGCTAGGTTATACACACCTTCTCAAATCGTGATGATTGACTTGGACGATACCCGCTTGGAACATGCAAAGAAACTCGGTGCGGATCATGCCGTTAACCCAGGAAACCCGGATGCGATAGAAGCGCTGAATGCACTCACGGAAGGGCAGGGTTTTGACTGTGTTATTGAAGCTGTTGGGATCCCGAAAACCTTTGAAATGTGTCAAAAGCTAGTCGCGCCAGGAGGTTCCATAGCTAATGTGGGTGTTCATGGGCACCCCGTGAATTTGGACCTGCATAAACTATGGGATCGCAATATCAGTAAGTCTTCATTTCCAGGCCATACTCAATCATTATGTTGCCTAAGAAACCGGCCATCCGTAGTCAAAACACTAACTGTACGCTCTGTAGGCATCAAGATGCAGTTGCTAAACGCCGTCAGTATCCCAACCCTCCTTCGACTGTATCAATCGGGCCATATAAAACCTTCTAATCTATTCACTCACCGTAAGTGGTCTATTTCGTTTCCTCTCACATCGGCAGGTTTTGCTTTATACATCTAAACTCGGCTATAGATTATCCCTTTTCAGAGGTCCATAAGGCATATCGTAGCTTCCAAATGGCGTCCCAGGAAGGTGCTTTGAAGGTTGCAATTGACTTCTAGTTCCAATTCGAATCTTGTGAATCAGCCAGTAGTCGCCATGACCAGTTTGACTCAAGCACTGGTCATCTAGGGAGGACCGATTAGCCTAGGACAAGTACACAATGTTTAGCCACGGGTGCAACATCTATCCAAGCTGAACAGTTTTCAGCTACAATATAATTACTATATTCACCGGTAGAAATAGTAGACCCTTCCCCATTCCTTAATTTGCAGTACTGACCGTACTGCAATGGTAGTTCACAGGGAATCTTACTGCAGATGAAACGTCTCACAGGTACCTAGGTCTATCCTCCAGATATCCAGTAAGCCCTTTAATGTCTTTCATAAGCTCTTCTATGTCAGCGTCTTTTGTTTTTCGCTGTCTCAAATAAGATAGTACCGTCTGAGTCCTCTGCTGCCTAAAACCCAATCCCACCCTAGCATCGAGGAGGATTCGATCTACATGCCTGGAGTGCCAACGGAGAGAATCAGGTAAGCAGTCATCGTGATCTGAATTGTGCGAGTCGTCTCTTGCAGCATGGAGGCCCAGCAGTCATGTTTCTATGTAGTGTGTACCAAATAGTTGACGCCTTTGGATTCAACATCTACGCTAGTATTAATTGGCTAAGTTTGAGTCACCGTATAGTGTTCGTACCCCATGTTTTGAAGCCTTTCTAAAAAAGTAATGATTTATTCTAACCATGTTTAAGCAGCTTTGTTAACAGAGGCGGACTCTGTCAGCTCCATGATATGGCCTTCGTAGCGCTCATATAAGACGATAAGTGATACGCAACCATACCAGGATAATCTACCAATCCATCAATCCAGCCCACCTACACTTTAACGTTCCATCTCCACTTCCAATCCAGAAGAGCCCATCGGGATAACGCAATGCTCACCAGTCCCGTCAACAAAACCGCCGAATAAACCCCCACAAGCACCTGCGGCGTAGTCGACTGGATTAATTCTCCCCCAGCCGGAACAGCAAGCAAGACCCCGAACGCAGCAACACAATAGATAGTTCCGTAGAATCGCCCGTATTCTTCCCTCTTGCATAGCTGGCCTGTACACACCGGCGCCAGCGAGAGCCACCCGCCCGAACCGAACCCGAAGATAGCCACCACCGCGTACAGTGTGGCGTCGTCGCGAGACCGGAACGGTAACCACACGGCAGCCATCGCAATGAGGGTCATGATGACCAATGACAGGAGCATATTGAATCGACCGACGAGGTCGGCAGCGAAGCCGGGGAGGACTCTCCCGAGGAAGCTCATGGCGTTCAGGACCGTGAGGGAATAGAACTGGGCGTCGAGCGAGAGCCCCGCGTAACAGATATATATCGGGAGGAGTGCGGCACAGCGGAAGAAGATGGACTCGAAGGAGAAAACGCCGACAGCCTGGAAACATAAACCGGGCGATTTGAACGCGCGTGGGTCGATCGTCGTTCGGCTCTGGGTACTGGCGGGCAGCCGGCCTTTGACGAGTGCGAAGCCGAACGTGTAGCACCCCAGTGCTATAAATGCGATCGCTCGGATCGCTCAAGTCCAGCCGTACTTGGCAAACAGGGTTCGTAGGAGTAATGGAACAATGGCACCGCCGGCCGACGATCCGCCCATGCAGATGCTGGATGCAAGGGCTCGCGACGATAGAACCAGTGGCTCAGAACTGCGATCGATACGGTAGTGATAATTGCGGCAGATACGCCACCAAGGACCCCAAGACATAGCATGAAATGCCAATACTCAGAGCATTGTGCTAGCAGGATATAAGATGTAAAGCTGCCAAGCGACCCGCAGACCAAGAGAATTCTAGGTTCGTAGCGATCGAATAGCGGGCCGACTTGAACACCCAGAAATAGGGTCAGGAGACCAGCACGGCGGTGGTGCAACCGACATCACCGACGCTATATTCGGAAAGTTGATGAGTGCTGATATAGTCCTGAATCGATCCAACTACATTGTGTTGATGTTTAGTTCATAATTCAACGAACAGGTCAGACTTCTCTTTACCAGCTGCTTCAAAACCAAAAGAGAGAAACATCATCAGAAAGGATCCCAATAGACATATTCATGCCTCCCGTCCGCCATCCAGGAATGCCGACACTGCTCGGCTTTCGTCGAGATTGTCCACTAAACGTTCATTCACAGCACACCTCACTTCAAGATCGCTGGCAAGTCCAACATTTTCATGTTGAGGAAACCGACGCATTGTATAGCTTTGAGCGACTCAGATGTAGTCCACTAAGGTTGCCAGATCTCGATCTTTAGAATGAGTGTTCGGCTGTTCGCGGGCATGTTATCGGCAGGGCGCGAAGCTAGAGCTCCTGGGCGAGAGTGGATGGATCCACGGAACCTCTTATCAAGGCCATTTTATTAGATTATTCGGTATGGGTCCACCCAGGTAATGGTAGGAATAATAGTGATTGGTATTTCTGCAGATTTTATCCACTGATTTTAGGACACAGTAATTTAAGCCGACAGTCAAGTGATGCCCTTTGCCCTAACAATGCACCTCACATTATCTATATCGTGACAAGTCCAAGCTGTGGTGCACGGGGTTTGTTAGTGTCTAATATACTTACAGATCAGCGTCTCTTTGTCGACGTGGTTTCAGGAACGCAGGGTCTGTCACATCTGAAAATTGCCAGAGTGTTAACTGTTGGCTTTGACCCTCGATGGCTGAGTGATACAGATCTCCTTTGTTGGAACCCTCAAATAAGATTATACTGAGACAACCAGCGGGAATTCCTTTCCGTTCATTTCCTTCACTTCCTTTGGTTGTCAATGTTTTGTTCCACGGAAGAAAAGTGGACGAAGCAAGAGAAAAATCATACAAAGGCATAATCCAGTAGACATACTTGATAAGACCAATTATCGAGGACCCTATCCATGCCGGTATTTCTTTAGGAGAGCGGCAGCGTCTCTTGGCGCGTCAGGGACGAACTCACCTTATCCCCGATACCCTTTAATTATTGGTGCGCTCATCGAAGCCAGACTTCATCTCGGCCAATATACGCCCATGTGACACCCTACATATACGAACTTGTGCCACCTTGGCGTCTCAAACTATTTACTTAAGTTAATATTGTTAGTAGGGCACCTCTGTCCATCTGCCACGTAACTACGGTCTACTCCCTGCACGGGCAAATATAGCCATTAACTTAGGGCGTGAAACCACAGAAAAAGAACGAAACCAAGATCTATTGCTCTACAATAGACATAGATTTCCACACAAAAGTCAGTGGCCCACATTGTGTCCCGCACAGAGTCACATATCTGTCAACAAACAAGACCACCCATCAACAGGACCAGATAAATTCCAAGTTCGGTACAGAGATCCCCACATTCAGCTGGAACCAATAATGCGCGCTGCCTCTTCCAAGGCCTGAGAATACTCAAGGTAACTAGCCGAGTTGCTGAGGTAAATATGGCCGGTAATTTCGCGGAGTTGCGCGACCAGGCCCGCCAGATCGGTCCCCGTCGGGACAGAGGTGACCATGGATGATAGACGAGCCTTGTCCATGTTCTTGACGCGGTCGAAGTCATGTCCTGCAAGCGCCTCTTGGAACTTGCTGTGCGGGGACTCGAAAATGACCGTCGAGTCGGGGATGTCGAGGTAGGCGCTGTCGGGGATTGTTCCGGGGTTCATGACCACCTGGAAGTTTAGTTAGTCTTCGACTACAGGTGAGGCTCGACAGGGTAGGGTACGGGTACTCACATTGTTTTGTGGGCCGAAGCCCTTGTTCTCCTTGATTAGAGAAGTGATTTGCTTGTAAAATGTCACTTTCTTGTCATCAGGCTCGGCGGCAGCTTCGTCAAGGAAGATACCGTGAACTGCGAAAGAGGCATCGCCGCTTACAGTCGGCCAGTTGGCGTAGGTGGCAATATCGTTCTGAACAGCGGATATGGGTCGGCCTCCGTAACATGTGGAGACGTAACCGATGACGGCAACGTTAGAGTGTCCCGTCAGCTTGGGGATTACCTTGCGCCAGTTGGTATCTGGCAGTGTATCCCCGCCGGGACCGCTGCTGGGATTAATGATGATAGTGAATTTCACATTGGGGTTGTTAGCGATACTTTGAAATGTGGTCAGTATATCTGTTCTAGCTCGTCATAACTTGTGGAGCGAGTGGTGGAAGACGTACAGTTGCTCCAGAGGCGTCCAGGCCCCTTCTGCTGGGTAGACATAGTAAGGAATGATAATTTCTGTATTTCCAGCGAAATCACCTCCTGGCTGCAGGGATGTCGTGGATGTTGCCAAAGCTGAGGGTCCCATTAGTGTAAGGCTAGGCTCGCCGGTCTGAGAGCCGGTAACACGGTTGGTTGAATCATCCTGGTCTTCGGAGCTATACTGGCGAATGGGGATGATTGCTGTGTGTGCAACCTGGAACAACAGAAGCAGATAACTCAGAACACGAAGCATATTCACAGACAGCATGATGCTAGAATGGATGCCAGAATGAAAGGAGGAAAGTAGAGGGAATGACTAGGGCATGCAATATAGGGACTGAAGGAATGTTTGCAGAGGATGAATGAAAGAACGAATGAAGGGCTTATAAATACTAGGAATTTCACAGCTTTCCAGAAGCTAGTAAATCCAAATTCGAAGAATGTAATGATTCACTTGCTGTCTATATATTCAATAAGATGACTTACATTCCTCGGTCCCTGCTCGATGCCGAAAGGGGATATAATATGCTATGGTCTCCACATACCAGGCCCCTGTTCTAGAACGCCTAAACAAGCCCAATCCAAGATGCAACTGGGGTAAGTTGAAATTCAATCTCCTTTCCGTCTGACATGTAATACACGTGGCAGGTACGCAAACCAACCAGGTTACTCTGCATCAGTTCTCATGACAGTGAATGCAATATTTTGACTCATGCTGAATACAGATCTAAGTGTGGCCGAGTAATGTGGAATGCATTAGAAAGATCACTATTCCACATCAAGATCACATCAGAATCTCATCTGAGCATTCACTTGGATACAGAGATTTGCTGGATGGGTAGTGCTTGTAGCGGGATAGATTGCACACCACATGTCACAATTGAATACCATCCATTATCATAGATGAAAAGATAACCTGAAAATAGCTGTTCACAGCCCCTCCTTGTGGGTTTCATTATTCATTGTTCTTTGGATGATCACAATTAGACAGCGACAAAGAATCAAGAAGCCCTAAGGATATTGTCATTGACCTGTTATATTACAATGAATGACATTCTAGAGTTCTCCGGCTTCAAGTTCAATCTTCCACATCTGGGATATTGAACGGCCCAAAGGTCAAAAAGTATCAAACAGGTGTACTGATTCTAACAGTAAATATCCGAGGGCAGACGTTGAAGTTGATATGAAACATGACGTGTTCGATAAATATCGCCACCAGAGCTCTCTGACATGCTTCTAGGGCTTCTTTGTTGGGGTGGAAGTTAGCCGTCAGTGTCAGGTGCTTTTCCGGACCCTTATTGGCACCAGCCAAGCGCCACGGGCCCTGCCCCTCTCTTCATATAACGCCCGGTTTCTAAGCCCCTCATTCATTTGTGTTGTGTGAATTTGAATAGGTTGGATGTCATAGTGACATTGCAAGTTGCCAGTGTCTAAACTACCAATCGCGCAAACGTTGCAAAGACCCAAGATGATGTACTTTGCAAGTCTGGTATTTGCTACTTCTTCAATGAAGGATGATTGTAGCTCAACATGAATGGCCTATGATTCTAAGACTTCATCTCACAATCAGAAGGATATGTTTGTGGTTTGGACGGGTAGATTTCTTGGTAACCTAGTGTTGTTTTTACAAATCGTCTCCGGTTATTATATACCCCGCCCTTATGTTTGGTTGACCTGCGCAGGTGAAACCTCTGCAGGGTCAATCGGGGGGCGATCTTGCAGCACCGGGATGCATATTTGGGATTGTTTTACGATGTCCTTCTGTATTTACAGGTGTAAATCTAGTTTTTCTGTGCTACGAATGTCCTGTTAAGCGCTCCCATCAATTTTATCCCAAGATCAATTGCTCATTGTGCTGTAGGAACTTGCCCTAACATTTTATTGACGTCGAGTCCATTATCTTGTCCCCGACTACATTCTTATACATCACATACGGGTATTCAATCGACAAAGGATTTAAGGGCTTCTGGCACGAATCTCACCCATCCCCAGATATTCATGTCCAACTCAGCAAACCCTAAGATGAGTAGTATAGCCTGCGTTGATTTAACGAGGGAAACATTGAGATCAAGGCGAATCGAAAGGATCAAGCCCGTAAATTCCCTTGTAGCTCCTGCCCGAATTGCGACAGTTCCTTGATTGGTTTGTTCCTAAAGAAGGTTCCATATATCGTTCGATTCCCTCTATTTTTGTCTACTTTCACTTTAAGAGAGCTTGGTTGTGTATATAGCGTTGCACGTTCACTAGCCTGTAAGAGATAAAGTCCTAACAAGTGTGAGTTATACAGTTCATAAATAGAATAATTCATGATTTTAGGGGTTATCCGGAGTATCCCGAGCCTCTAGGCAATATAAAAATAGCTCCTAATAGGTGGAATATGCAGTCCCAGCATGCAGGGGATGTACAATTTGATTGGGTGTGAGTGATAAACAGAGTCTTATCCGAAACATCAAAGAGTCCGAGCACTGTCGATCCTCACGGTTCTGTTACCGGATCAAGTAGGGTTGTCGGACCCTGTGACAGCCGTCAAGCACTAGAGGATGCACAATCGGCAGCTAAACGTCGCTTAAATCTCAGATATACCGAGTCAGACGCTCTCTTAATTTAATGGGAACTGCCAAAACACCCGATTCATGCACTAATCAACGGCCTCCTTGGCGGCTAATCTGTATGCGACACGGTGTTGAATAGTTGTAGGTATAAATATGCACCCCATGTATCACAGGAGGAAATGGAATGATAATCCTCTTTCGCGTTCAAACCTGTCTTGCCTGGACCGCTACTCAATATGCGGCTCACCCTCCCCTTAGTCAGTTTCTTGTCGCTCCTGCACTCTACATCGGCCTTGGTCGCCTTCCCTGGTGCAGAGGGCTTTGGGGCGAACGCTGTCGGCGGTCGCCAGGGTGAAGTGTATGTTGTGTCGAACTTGAATGACTCTGGCGAAGGGTCGTTGCGTGATGCTGTATCTCAGCCCGGTCGGATTGTAGTGTTCTCCGTGGGAGGAGTGATTGAAATCACCGATCGCATTGTCGTATCGAAACAAGTGACGATTCTTGGACAAACGGCCCCTGGCGATGGAATCACCGTATATGGAAATGGGTGGTCATTTTCAAATGCCGATGATGCCATCGTGCGGTATATTAGGATGTAAGTAAGCACCAGACGTTCAGGCCATTGCATTTTTGTCTCATCCAGTACACATGCTAACCAGAGGAAACCCACACGATAGTCGCATGGGCAAAGGCGGGTCATCAGGAAAGGACGCCATGGGCATCGCCGATGGAAAGAACATGATCTTCGACCACGTCTCTGTCTCTTGGGGTCGTGACGAGACATTCTCGATCAATGGTGATGTCACCAACGTCACCATACAAAACAGCATCATCGCGCAGGGGCTGCAGACTCATTCCTGCGGTGGCTTAATGCAAACTGACGGTGGCGTGTCGCTGTTCCGCAATCTGTACATTGACAATAAAACCCGCAACCCTAAGGTCAAGGGTGTTAACGAGTTCACAAACAACGTCATCTATAACTGGGGCGGCGGCGGTGGTTATATCGCTGGAGGTTCTGATGGAGAGTCGAGTGCGTCACAGATCTCTTTGGCTCCTGGGTTATGGATCTTGGGCTAACGCTGTACACAGATGTCAACGTTATCGGGAACTACTTCATCAGCGGTCCGTCTACCTCAGTCACGGCTTTTACTCGTGGCAACGAGAACTTCCATGCCTATGTGGAGACAAACTACTATGACTCTGATAAGGATGGTACTCTCAACGGTAGTGAGCTCGGCGTGGACTCTACCAACTACGGCGGAATGGATCTCGTTACCGAAAAGTTCGACTATCCCGCTGTTGCGACCGTCCTGTCTCCGGACGATGCTCTGACCTATGTCACCAAGTGTAAGCTACATTTCCACAAATATTCCATTGGTATACCAGACTAATAGCACCTAGATGCTGGAGCATCCAAAGTGAGAGACAGTATCGACACCCAATTAGCCGCCCAGGTCGAATCCTACGGCAAAGACGGCGCACTGATCTCCGACGAAGCGGACATGGGAGGCGCGGGCGACCTCGACCAAGGCACGACCCCTGCCGATACCGATGGTGATGGAATCCCCGATGATGCCGAGGCAGAGCTTGGAACGGACCCCAACACTGCAGATTCCATGAAGCTGGATGCCAGCGGTTACACATACCTGGAGGTCTGGGCGAACTCCTTGGTTCCTTCCAGCTACGCTTGATTGTTTAGCATGGTTTACCAGGTGTCCACCATGCGTTGCATTGTACATACATACATCGTACATAGTTTTGACTGAGCTGTTCCGCCAATTGAGAAAGATAATTCGAGCTTATTGACGCATGTTCTTGTCTTTGGAGGTAGTTGCTCGACGGTACTGTTCCGTGCGGAGGGATGCCTCGAACCGGGGTGAGAGGTTGGGATTTAAAAGGGCTTTTCTGAATCACCCAGAGCTTTCACGCTAGAGCTCATCAATACTCGGACGTAGTAAATTTGAATATAGGAAATATCATGCGCAGAAGCACTAGATAAATCCGTAGCCTTGCCAATGAGGTTCCGAATCCGGAGCTGTTGTGCCCCTTTTAATGAAGTAACAAGCGTGATTCGCTTTACTCCGGAGTGCATTCTTGTTTGGGTCTGTGTTTTATGAAATGGAGAACCTGCTTTCAAGCTAAAAGCGATAGTTTGGGAATCGTAACAGTTAGTGCTTGGGGGCCGTAATATTGATCCACTCCGTCAGGGCCGAATGAACCCCAAGTGGAGCGAAACCGTCGACTATCCCCAAGTGTCATTTGAATCTTGCCTTTTCCAATGTGTTTTCTACGTGAGACTTCTTATCTACCTAGGTCAGCCCTACATTGTCACTGCGATCGAAACTGAAGATCCAAGGCTGTTTCTCTATGATCGACATAATGCCAAGCTTTATATGAATAGGAGTATAAGATATAGCGTGCGCCGTTATGATCGTAGCTATGAATAGTAAGGACCCTTGATTCGTTAAGAAATATACTGCAAATTTGCCACTGGATATATAAAGACTTCGCTTCCCCAATGTAAAGTAAGAGCTTCCTTGGGAAAACTGGGAACCACGACTATAAGTGGACTACCTTAAGGCCCACCGGCGTTCATATGGAAGCTTGACATTGCGCCACCAACGTGAATTTAGCTCCGTTCTATACAATTACGCTTAGTATTTGATTCAAGCTCTTGAGTCTCTGATCAAATACTTGGTGTTATTAATAATAATTAACTTCTAGATTCTTGATACTATAACAGTAATCCGTACTATTTTATGGCGTGGGGCTGAGTTGTTCTTTACACCTTCTAAGCCATCCATTGGGATCAATGTGGGCCCTACTAAATTAGCCCTCACTGTGCCCCCGAAACGTACTCCGTAGCAGTACTATAGTTTGAGTTAATCCCAGTAATAGAACTGGGACGAGGCTGATGGGTCAAGGCCAAGCCCAAGATCATTTCCCAGCAAGGAAAAGTTAAGGATTCTAGATGTATCAAGCCAGCGAATCACAGAAAAAGCCCTGGCCAACATAAGATTATCACACCGTTAAGCAATCGTGCCCTTTATAGGCCATGATATAATGTTACATCGCTCTGTCTGCGCCTACTTAATGACGCTAAGGAATGGTGTGACCAAGACTTTTTGGGAAATTATGTTGAAAGATATCTTTTTTAAACCACGCTCGCTCGCCATGCTGTTCCCCCATAGACATCATGACAAGACCGAGCCAGAGTCGCTACCTGCTTTGTCTCGGAATTCCTTCTATCATCTGTGGCATCCTTGTGCTGTTCTTCTGGTCCCTGTGGTTCGGTGTCAACTCCGATCGAGACAATGTACCGTCCGTGATCAACCACCTCATTCCTGCAGGCCATTGTGCTTGTCAGGCAGCCCTGTCATTCGAATGTGGGAGTTGCCTCCGTTGTGCTTCTGATTTATCTGACGACCCAACACCAAAGGCACGGGCTTATAACCCAGTCTATGACGCGCAAAACCTAACCCTGAATGCGGCTCAGTGCCAAAGTTTCTTTGCGGGCCTGTTCGAAGATGTCCACCGCGCAGAGACATTCTGGACTGCGAAGCATGGCATATCAATGCGTGACTTGAACGAGATTCACCTGGTGGAGGGTATGGCTCGTGCAGCAGTAGTCAACGGTCAGCTCTATGTGATATCCACCCATGCGCGGGGAGAAGACCATCGACGTAAGATCTTGGCTATCTTGGGTTCGATTCATCGGGCATTAGCTTCAGGTTCTGATACTTCCACTCTACCTAATACTGAGTTCATTTTCTCCGTGGAGGACAAAGTAGAAGATGTCACCACTCCTCATCACCCTCTATGGGTCTTGGCCCGAAAGCCAGATGAACAAGCCGTGTGGCTGATGCCAGACTTCGGATTTTGGGCATGGGAACACGGCAAGGCTGACGGCAAGATCGGTCCGTATACTCAGGTGGTTGATCGTATTCGACACAAAGAGGTCCCTTGGGAAGAGAAAGAGCCAAAGCTGGTGTGGAGGGGAAAACTGAGCTTCGCGGCGAAGATGCGACGGGCATTGCTGGAGGCAGCAAGGAATCAGCCATGGGCTGACGTCAAGGAAATAGTATGGAAGGACAAGACAAACTTTATCAGCATGGAGGACCACTGCCGGTATCGCTTCATTGCTCATGTGGAAGGTGAACATGACTTTCCCTACTCATGTTAATCTCATGGGACACAGCTAACAAGTTTGGACCAGGACGATCCTATTCTGCATCCCTCAAATATCGCCAGGCATGCGGTTCTATCGTCGTCGCACATAAGCTCCAGTATATCCAACACCACCACTATCTCCTTGTCTCGTCCGGCCCGGATCAAAATTTTGTTGAAGTAGAGCGCGACTTTTCTGATCTGCCAGCGAAAATGCAGGCATTGCTAGACGATCCAACGTCTGCTGAGCGCATTGCCAATAACAGTGTCACTACCTTCCGGGATCGATATTTGACGCCAGCTGCAGAGTCATGTTATTGGCGTGAGCTTTTGAATCGGTGGACAGCGACGTCACCACATGTTACGGATGCGATTAGGCCATCTGAATATTTACGCAGTAAAATGCGTTATGAGTCTTTTCTATTACTCGATAGCCAGAGAATCATGCATTTTCCATGACCAATGGTTACGTTTGAAGTATACACAGCGTAGACAAAAGCCGATTTATATAGAATGCAGCGGCTTCAGCAAACCCGCTCACTATGTGCAATAAGATACCAATGCAAACTGGGATTCCGGGATGCCAGTTACGGTCCTTGGTCTCTCGGACAAGTCTTCCAACGCGTGCCTACCTTAGCAGAAGAAACACCTGGCATAGGTAATGACTATCGAAGTGAATCGCCCTTTGTTAGCCGTGGATCTAACGCGTGCATAATACGATAGGATGTATCGGAATGATATAGGGTAGGCTACAAGTGCTTGAAAGCGCTATATTTTCCTACTTAGTTTCGTGATGCAACGCCTGGGATATGAGATCGTTTTCTCCGTAGAAAAGAAAAACCAAGTCAACTTTATCATATATGGCACTTCGGTCATAGCGTTGGACTTTGAGCAGCTGTGCATGCAGCGCCGATCGCTCGGATCCATCTAGGCGAACCGACGTCCTACTTTGCCTCTACTATCAGCCAGTTACTCGCCGCCAGCAAAGTGCGGATAGACCCAGTTCCAAAAATAAGTTGAATAATGGCACTATACGGAGTAGTATCATTTTCTAACACTAATGCCATTTGATCTACCATAATATGTCTGGTTCGGGGCACATTCGTGCGGTCTCGTTTTTTCTGATACGTCACGTCAGTACTCTGTATACCTGGCGCGTATCGCCTCATTCTGCCTGGGGGTAGCGAGCCATAACACCAATCATAGTGCTTTTCAAAGATCCCTGTATAGACGAGGCTGACATATGAAGTCTAACGAGTACTACAGGGCCCCCGCCACCTTTTGCTAAGCTGCTTGTTCCTTCTGGACAAAAATGCGGTGACCTTCTCTAGTTGTTTCATGTTGTTAGTTGTGTAGATCGGGAAAAGAACAGGCTTCACCATTGGAGGAACATAAGCATTATGGCACAAGCGGAGAGTTGTGAAAACAACGTCAACTACCGTCAAAAAGAGTACCATTACTCTGCCCCGGGGATGTATCCGCCTACTATGCTTACTGGCTAGCAAGGATAGTAACTCCCGCATACAAGGCCACCTATTCAACTATCCTCTAGAGCAGTTGGCAGACAAAACGCAAATTTACGAGGCTTCATCCTATGTCTAGGGTAGCCTGAATAGTCGTCGCTTAATCTTATTAGAGGACTGTAAATTGCCCGTTACTGCAAATCTTTACACAGCTCTGTTATCTCTTCCTGACCAGCACATCGAGCGAATCACCTGGATTGATGCGATTCGCATAAATCAGAAGGATCTCAAGGAGATGGGAGAACAGGTTCGGCGCATGGCTGAGATATACAGTAAAGCCAGTCGTGTGGTTGTTTGGCTTGGGTATAGGAACAATCATAGTGATGAAGCACTTGAGAAAATACGGATCGCTGCTCAGAGACCTCACAGCGTGGACGACGATTTGACCAAGGAGGCGGTGTTATCTTTGCTACGGAACTGCATTCAGTATCAATGTCCCTGGTGTTAAGAGCGCTGTTTTTGTCACTGCAAGATGTAATCTCATGGATGAGAAGGGCTGGCCATCACATGATTTAGAGATTCAAGACAAATATGGTCTGGATATCTCGATACACATTGACGATGTAGAGGTATTTCCCTCTGCGAGCGAGCCAAAATGTGCGAGCGATGCCGGCGTGTATTCAGGCAGTGGAGCACTTCTAGTTAATATGGAGCCCGGATGGTATCTTCGCGGTGGTTATGGATTTGCCCTAGAATTGGGTCAGGCTCATTTGCGAGGTGACGGCCTAGGCGTTTGCGGTTATCCAAAACTGGGAACGCTTTCTAGAAGTACCGGAGGGTGCCTTAGTTGTCAGGATGGCTGCATGACATACAGCGCCACAGCAATGTCAGGGATGAGTGGATCGCCTGTATTCTTATCGCATAATGGACATGCCCCTTCCGTCGGCATTCAGTGAGGCCCTGCCCCCTATTCTGCGTTTCTTCCCTTCTATCCTACCTTTGAAGACTGATTGCGTAAAATCCCACATAGTATCGACTCATGTGACATAGGCGGATGGTGCGTGCGCCTTACTGTCGAGGTTCTGGAGGAAATACTTGGCTGGGCTAACACCATTTACACAAACAAATTCATAAGAATATTTTCAACATGGAGGCTTCCCCGAGAAGGTGTTTATCTCCACTTCCCAGCAGATGGCGAACACGCTATTGCAGCAATAGGTGAACAGGTCCCACCGACTATGTTTGATATTCTTCCCTTGTATGCGCCAAGCGGAACCGGTTGCAGTGCGCTCTATGTGTTTCGCTTTCGAGCACCTCCAACGTGGCCACGTCCAAGCCATAAATGGGTGCAGTGGGATATTGCAACGGATACTGTCAGTCTGGCAAGTTCTCTGCAGGAGCCCTGTTCAGTGAAGTTATACTCAATCCTAGAAAGGGGACCGGATGTCTTTCGAGTCTTCGTTAAGGAGAGTGAGCTCGTAATGGATGTCTCACAGGATTATCAGCAGAACCGCAGGATGTACTCTGCAAGGATCTGGTTTACTACTGAGCCAAAACTGTTCTCACATGTAAGTGTACAAGCATCAAGCTTTTCGTGACTTGGGGAACGGGGCTTACCTGATATTAGCTCACTTATTTCACTCTTGAATCGGGACCTGCGAACTAGATGGGGCAGAGAAACAAAAGGGAGAGATAGATTTTCGTTATACCTGACCTGTTAGGTACTTCCCCAGTTATTGACGGTCGGCATTCAATATCATTTATAGATGAGACTTTACCTGTTGTTCAATTGACTTAGGATTGTGCCCTCTTTGTGTACTTTTTGTTAGTTGACATGATTCCAACTTATCAGCTTGAGCACAGCACTAAGCCTCTGTTTAATATAGATCCTGCACTTGGCCTTCTCGATCCATGCCGTACACTACTTTGGTAGTACAAAACAGCAAGCCATGTTTCCCCTTCGCCAGCCGTAAGCCTAGCTATCAAGGACTTTGTAGTCTGGGATGACGAGTACATCATGGCCATGGTTTTTCAGCGCCCTTGCGACGTATTCTGTGGCTGATCCGGCGCATTATTTTGGCACACTTCAGTATGACCAAGCGCGCTATGCCCTATAGGCGGAGCAGAGCTCGTATACCAGCGCAATCCTACGTTTGGTCTACGTGTTCGTCTTTTATCAAGGTTCACAACAATGGTCGGCCCACTTCTCATATAACTAATTAAGAACCTTCAGATTTACAAGCACACCATTCTTCATGTTCCATATATAACCTTCAAGGCTGCATACGTTCATGGTGACATCACCATTGTATACTGTCGCACGTTAAGTCCCAGTCTCCAGTGGGTCAATCTCTACTACAAAACTAATGACAGCGGTTGTATGAACCGGTCAGAGGAGAGGCTTGGCATTCATTAACCACAGTTGACAGCTAAAAATTTGGGTACAAGGTAAATTATGATGGGATGGTACATTAAGCCAGGGTGTCATTTCGAACCAAACGGGACTCATCCATGGTTCGGAAGGAGTGCAACCTACATATACTTGCTGTTTGCGGCCTAATAAATTCCATATTTGTATACTCTTGACGCAATGTATTGTAAAGAAAATATTACACAGTCAGTAACTCCTCGTTTCAGCTCCTCCTGCTGCTGCAATTATAATCTTGTTGGTCGCCGCCATTATGCGTACCCAACAATATGTATACCTGACCATGATCGGTCAATTCACCTTTATCGACCTATTTCTTATACCTCTCATTGCATATAGGCCATAATGGGTCGTGCGTACGTTGAAAATTACCTCGAAACATAATTCCAGAAAGGGGAGCTCCCCAATTAACAAGGTATAGATGGGTTGGAAGAGCGCCCTTGTCGCCGGAGGAACTTCAAAGGATTGGCCCTCAGGCGCGAAAATGGGCTGCCGAGGTACTACTACACCCTCCTTTTACTCACCAGGGTCCTAAGTGTTAATATATATTTCTCTAAGCAAATCCTGAACTTATGGCGACGGGGAAAGGACATTAATACCCCAAGGGCCCTATGGGGTGATGAGGTACATTTCAACCGGGAGAACTATGCAGCCCTTTTTTCTGACCATCTCATGTAGCTGGAGTATGTAATGGTACAATTTGACCCTTCGCAATCTCGTGCAACTGCCGTATTAGATCAAGAGAACGTCTTACGTCGGTGGAATAATCAGGTTTCTAGCAAGTTTGGGTAAGTGAGCATTTGTCTTTGGTTAGAGTTCTATAGCGAACACAAATCATTCAACTGACAGGGAGTCTAGGGAATCTCTTGAAGATGAGACCATGGACCTGCAACCGGAATGGCAGAACTTTTCCATTGAGTCCACCCCTTCTAAGCCATACACCGACGAAACACGGGATCTGCTCAATGTCGAGATAAACATGAAACGGAGGTACGTAGGCGGACTTGGAGTGTTGGCTATCCCAGCGGTCTGACCATTACAGACGTGCATTAATCAAAGATCTTTTGGGTCCTTCGCAATACCCGCTGACTATTGCTTCCTTTCCGCGCTTGGGTGCCAAAGGCCAATTCACGACCCCCCACTATGACACCTCGCAGAGTGACGTTCACCACAGAATGGTGCCACCTCAAGTGGTAGCTCCGGGGCTTCGCTATTTCTATATAAACCAACAAGTTCTTAGTCGGCGACAACGTCCTGTCGGCCTGCATATCCCAATATATAGGGATCGTAACACGCCGAGACCTTTCCTAGATGAAGATTGTTTAGCCGAAGGTGCATTGTTTGGCAGAGACATTGTCTATCTCGAAGGTCAAGCATTCGGTGGAGCATGCTGCGCACTCCAGACCACAGTTCAAGCTGCAAACGAAGCTGATGCTAGATGGCTACACGACCAACTAGTCATACTCGGTCCCACCATGCTGGCTTTAACTGCAGCTACCCCTATTTATAAGGGTTATCTGGTTAATACAGACTCGCGGTGGGACTACCTAACAGCCAGCTTTGATATTCGTACTCAGGAGGAGGAGCTCCAATTTCTAGAGACGTCTAAGCAATGTTGCTCAAGTCCATTAACCCGCTGGTCTTCCAACCGGGTCTACCTCTCCCATGAACGACCTGGAAGCATAGCAAATGCCTGTGGACAAGTTCAAATGGACGAATCAGCAAAGTTGCAGCTTCTCGATGGAGGCATGGACGAATCTATAGCTTCATACTTTTCCAATCTCCTATGGCACGATCCACTGTGCCTGAATCAAGAAGCAATCGAATTGAGCAGCCCGGAGACTACTCACATGTTTGAGAAGTTTCAACATGGAGTGTGGAAGCATGTTCACTTGAAAATGCCAGAAGCTAGCACAGGGTCTGGATGGCGTATTGAGTTCCGCCCCATGGAAGTTCAACTCAAAGATTCGGAAAACGCAGCATTCGCGGTGTTCATGTTCTTGCTGTCCAGGGCTATCATGGCGTATCGGCTGAACTTATATATCCCAATCGAGTTAGTGACGGAGTCCATGCAACGAGCACAAAAGCTTGATGCTGTGACCAAGGAACGCATTTGGTTTCGGCGACGAGACTGGGCTCCAGACGGGCTAAATTCTGTTCAGTGCAATCCTCAATATGGCTGCGCGCAGTCACAGAAGGAGAATGTTTATGCTCTAATGACCATTGATGAGATTATCAACGGTGAGCACTCGACATCACCGGCTCGATTCCCAGGGCTAGTACCCATCGTGCGATCATACCTACTAGAACGGGATTTGCTTCCCAATGAAGAGGCCAAGCTGATGCAATATCTCAACCTCATCAGTTGTCGAGCGAGTGGAAGTCTGCCAACTCCCGCAAGGTGGATGAGAGACTTTGTTGCTGAGCATGAAGATTATCAACAGGATAGCGTTGTGAGCGAAAGGATCTGCTATGATATGTTAAGAGAAGTTGTGAATATGAATGAAGCTGATTGAGTCTAGTATATATGTACTTAGCAAAGAGCATTCAAGCTTGAAGAAAAAAGTCATTTTAAAAATTTGCATCGAATATCCATTTTCTTGGAACTTTTTCTCTCTTTCCCACAAGTGTTTTGTGCTTAGACCACGGCCTTCCTAGGTCTTGTACGCGTTCAGTATTCTTTTAGCAAGTCATTTGGCGATAACGGATTCCCTCGCTTTTTTTTTCTTCGATTGATTCAGACAAAAGTGATTTCTCCTATTTCTCGCTCGCTCAGATTTCTACATCCCATCTTAGGCACAGGTGAGCGCAGGTATGTACATAGAAACTGAGGGAACGAGAAAGGTGGAAATTTTGATCAATTTGGCTACGGAGGATCTACCGCTGGTATTTTGAGGGTCATTAGAAAGGTATGTTGATATAGAAGTCCTCAGGACTTCACAGAGCGTTCCAAAGGTAAAGGATCTAAGCAACAAGATAGTGAGGGACCAACTCGAGCGACTAACAAAGTGTCACAAACTGCAGAACCACAACTATATATATATGCTAGCACGAGCGTACCAAGCACCACCAGAGCTAAGTGTGAAGTTACTGGTTCTTTATCACTAATTATGCGTATAGACCCACTTGCAAAAAGTCTTTCCACAACATACGTATGTCTATATCCTGGCAATCATTCGCCATATCCCATGTTACTAACAGACTGTTATTGGCAGTGCAATTCTTGATTCACATTAATTTCTTCATAAAGCAAAAAGCTAAGACATCTTTCAACAAGCATCCGATGTGGTGTAATGGCTAACATCGCTGTCTCTCACACAGCAGCTCGGGGTTCGATTCCCCGCATCGGAAATATCTTTTTCTTTTTCCGTTTCTCCATTCTGTTTTGTCTCATTCATTCGTCCCTTTGTTCTCTATTGCATTCTTTCTCTCTTTCTTTCCCTTTGTTCTCTGCGTTGTTCGTTGTCTTTGTCCCATTTTTTCTATTTTACGGTCAACCCCCAGCCTATATCTACAATTGACACCCCTGCTATTCTAAACCACAGCATCTCAGTCAAATGGATCATCATTCTTGTGTCTCCTCTTTGTACCCCTTGTACGCATCGTTTCACATTTAATCATGGATTTCCGTTATTTATCTACCCGGAACTTATCCAAGGTTCCGGCTGATCCACATAATGATAAACATTGGTCAACCGAATCCTTGGGTGTTTCCAATTCCGGGGCGTGGACTTGGTTGCCATGTACACAATATTCACCTTGGCATAACTTGTATTGACACTGATCAGAGAACTATAGAGACTATGTCTCCTGAGTTGACCAAGTGTATGGTCACGAGAATCTGTAAGCAAGACACCCGGAATCCTTCCGGGAAGCATCCGGACGAATACGAAGACGGATGCAACGGTAAACTCCTGTATAGGAAACTAAATAAGATCCCCCTCATCTTCCACAGTAGTGTCTTCATTACTCCAACATAAAGGAAGATATCATCATGTATTGCCACGACTGCCATCACCTTCTGCGTATCGACCTTCATACGCATATTATGCCCCCGTCTCTACCAGATCTCTCGTCATATCCCTCAAACTCCACAGATTCCCCATGGTTATCTCTCCGGGCAAACGTCAAGAACCCAGAAGACATCGACATGTACGTAGGCGATCACTTTTTCCGCACAGTTAACCGAAACTGCTACGATGTCAACACACGTCTAGCAGAGATGGACGCCGCAGGGACCGACATCCAAGTCCTCAGCACGATCCCAATTCTCTTCTTTTACGACGAGCCTGCCGAGCCAGTATCAATACTAGCCAGGCACCTGAACAACCACATCGCCGATATCTGCGCACAACATCCCGCCCGGTTTTTAGGTCTGGCAACAGTGCCACTACAGGATGTTTCAGCAGCGGTGGCAGAGCTGCGTCGAGCGAAGAATGAACTCCACCTACACGGCGTGGAGATTGGCACTACGATCGACGGAATGACTCTAGATGACCCACAGTTAGACCCATTCTGGCAGGCTTGTGAGGAGCTCGAAATGCCCATCTTCATCCACCCGCTGGGTTATACCTGGCCAAAGGAGAACCCGAAACTCTGGTCTAAGTACTGGAGCTCGTGGCTGGTTGGCATGCCCAGCGAGACGGCGCTTGCTTTGCATCTCCTCATTTGCTCGGGGACGTTGTTACGATTTCCCCGGCTTCGGCTTTGCTTTGCTCATGCTGGCGGATCGTTCCCTGCATTGTTGGGCCGCATTCAGCATGGATATGATTGTCGGCCAGATCTCGTAGCCACAGATGCAGGCGGTGTCACTCCAACGGAACATGCGACTATGCGCGATAATATCTGGATTGACAGCCTTACTCACGATGTTGATCTTCTCGAGTTTCTGGTGAAGAAGGTCGGAGCACATCGGATCGTTATGGGTAGCGACTACCCGTTTCCATTGGGTGAAGTTCCCGAAGCTGGTAGAATGATTGCACGGGATAAGCGCTTGGAGAAATTTCTGTCGTGGGAGCAAAGAGCGGACATGTTGGCTGGCAATGCGTTGCGCTTTCTAAATCTTGATGCGGATGAGAAATGGAGAGATTTAGTAAAAATGCGATTGAGGGCTTCTGAGGAGGGGCATGGCTCGAAGCAATTTTTGCCATAGTCTCCCTCATTCCTCATCCTCCTTGTCTTTTTGCTTTCGTTTTCTAGTACGTATTACGGAGACATGATTTACGACCAAGCATAATCATGGGATTTGAGACGTAATGAACAATATACAATGTCAAGAGCTTGGTATAATTTGTATAGAAACAATTTTTTGAACCAGTTATTTTTGGTCTGTATCATAACAGTATGATTCTACTCGAACCACTTGGTGCGAGAACGGCTAATTAACGAACCTCAAATTTCAAACCATGGGCTGGGGCTGCAAGTATTCTCAGACAGAGAGCTAATACAGAGCTTTATGCAATGAGATTTATATTTAGACATCAAGATCTGCCATGTTCGCCAGCTGTCTCCACAGAATACGGGGAACGGCCTTATCGATCTGATCAACCTTTCCCGAGTATAGGCGGATGTTCGTAGATTTAGAAGAGCATAGATTCCAAATTGCTCAACCATATGTGTGGCACACATAGAAACACCAAATTACACGTTTTTAATGTATCATCAGCAGTATGTTGTCGTCCCGCCTATTGTAGTTGCCTTGGCCAAACACCCGGCGGTCAAGCAGTATGATCTGAGTAGCGTGGAGGATATACTGGAGCCAGATAGCACTGCTCGAAGCGGATCACCATCCGGCATCCGTGTCCGCCGGATGTACTTCCGCTTCCTCGGGTGATTAGCCCTAACTGTAGTGAGGGGAAACGGACACCTCTGCAACATGTTTCTAGGTTACGTGAAGTTAAGATGTGTGTGTGTATGTAGACGATGCCCAGGCGCACCTATAATGTCTGAGTTTCAAACCAAAAGGGACAGAGCCCCGTAGCCCCGCGGTTCGTAGCGAAATATCAATGTCAGGCGCAGTGAACATATAAGCTACATTATCGTTTATACATCCCTGGTGGTGGATAGTAACCTTTTACAATTGTTGCTAATTGCATTTATCAAGATGACTTCTCCATTTTCATTTACATCGTGGGTAGCGGAGAATGAGGACAAACTCCATCCGCCGGTGAATAATTACTGTCTCTACTCCGGCAAGGATTTTACTCTAATGGTTGTCGGGGGGCCCAATGCTCGAAATGACTATCATGGTATCACATCCCTTTGATATTTTTCTTTCAAGACATATGCTCAATTAGTATTAACTGATCTTCCTCAACGGTAGTCAACCAAACCGAAGAATGGTTCTACCAGGTCAAAGGCGACATGCTTCTGCGTATCGTCGAGAACGATACAACTTTCCGCGATATATCTATCAAGGAGGGAGAAATGTTCTTACTTCCTGGTTCGTATGGATAGCCCCATCACAAAACGGCCTTATGTTAATGTAACAGGGAACACGCCGCATAATCCAGTCCGATTCACGGATACGATCGGACTAGTTATGGAACGCAAGCGACCAGAAGATTCTTTAGATCGTCTGCGGTGGTACTGTAGCAACGGACGGCATGAGAAACCAACAATTATACGCGAGGAGGTTTTTCACTGTGCTGATCTGGGCACGCAATTGAAGCCATTGATTGAGAGATGGCAGCTTGATGAGGAGAGTCGGCGGTGTGGGGCCTGTGGATCGATCGCGGATCCGAAATAACTTCCTGGTTATTATGGAGTGATGTGGTAGTAGATCTACATGGTTTTCTTGGTCTATGAATTGTTAGAGTGGAGTTGTCAGGGTTATCCCATATAACCCTTTTAGGATAGCAGATAGCCCTAAGCAAACATTGTCAACTCCATGGTTTCTATAATAGCACCAACAAATACCCCATTTGAGGTGTTCTCCAGGTTTCGGATTATCTTTGGCGAGACTTTTTTATCTTAGTGGATTCTTGGCATTATTTGTAGCCGGATGACAGGATCAGACCATACTCACTTGACCGGATAACATCCGATGCATGGCCTGCGCTCCGTCGTCGCCGGATATGTTCCCAAATTCTCTCCTTTCTCGTTTCCTGGCGTTATATCACCTCTATTAATCTGAAGTCGCCTAAGACAGTTACAATCGCCATGTCTCCACACCTGTGGGAACTCGATACCCTTGAAGATGCGGAGGGCCATCTCCAGCGGCTCGATTTCCAGCCGTTCAAGCTCCAAAACCTCGTCAATGGAAACCTCGTCCCTCACCCCCACAATGATTGGATTGATTCCATGAACCCCAAGACCGGCCTCCACTTTGTATGCATCCCAAACAGCACCCCCGAGCAAATCGATCAAGCCGTCAAAGCCGCCGACGCAGCCTTTCCTGCGTGGTCTACCACACCTCCCTCGCAACGATCACAGTACCTCCAACGCATTGCTTCGCGAATTGAAGAACAGCGGGAATTGTTTGCCGTCTGGGAAAGCATCGACCAGGGAAAGACCTTGACGCGCGCGAGAGTGGAGATTGATCGCGCGGTGTCTAATTTCCGGTGGGACAATTCCGAATTGCTTTGCATACATGCGTTTCTTGAATTAACGTGTGCGACTGGGCAGATACTTTGCGACCTATATCCTGCACCAAGAAACGCATGCCCGATTAACAGATACCAATGTTTTGACCTATGAACATCGTTCACCGAAGGGTGTCTTCGCGCTTATATCGCCATGGAACATGCCATTGTATCTTCTTACGTGGAAGATCGCACCCTGTCTAGCCTTCGGGTGTACGGCCGTGGCGAAGCCGAGCGAATTGACTAGCGTAACGGCCTACCGTATGTAACCCACGCCTTTGACTTTAGTGACTTGGTCCACCTAATAGCTATCTAGTCCTCTCGGCCGTATTCCAAGATGTCGGACTTCCCCCAGGCGTAATCAACCTGGTCTACGGAGCTGGAAATCCCACCGGCTCAGCTCTGGTTAGCCATCCGCTCGTAAAAGGCATCTCTTTTACCGGGGGCACAGCCACCGGCCGACAAATCCGTCGCGATACCGTCGACGACATCGGAAAGCATCTATCGCTCGAACTCGGCGGGAAAAATCCTACTCTCGTGTTCGACGACGTCGACATGGACAAGGCCGTCGCAACCGCAGCGGCTGCCGCGTTCGAGAATCAAGGAGAGGTACTACCCAGCCCAAAGACTCCAAGCCAGTGAGTCGAGAACTAATGATGTTCAGATCTGTCTCTGTGGTTCCCGAATCTATGTCCAGAGAAGAGTCTGGTCGGAGTTCGTATCGCGCTTCGTCTCATATGTCAAAGAGCATTACGAACTGGGCAACACAGTCGGTGCTGTGGTCTCCTTACCACATTATAACAAAATCCGGTCGTATCTCTCCCTAGCCGCTGAAGACCCCGTCAGCGTGTTTCATCTCGGTTCTATACCACCAGAAAACCCGGAAGGAGGGTTCTGGATAGAGCCTGCTGTCTTGACGGTGTCTGAGTCGAGTCCGTTGTTAACGGACGAGATTTTCGGCCCGGTTGTTACTCTCACCCCTTTTGATACAGAGGAAGAAGCCATTCGGAAAGCCAATGATAGTAACTATGGACTGGCTAGTATCTTGTTGACTAAGGATGGGGCGCGCATGCGACGTGTCGGAGAGAGGCTGGAGGCTGGGTTGGTGTGGGTCAATTGTTGGCTGGTTCGAGAATTAGGGACGCCGTTCGGAGGGATGAAGTCTTCCGGTACAGGGAGAGAGGGGGGTGAGTATAGTAGGGAGGTGTTTACCTCTGTGCGCACGTTGCATATTCCCCAGGTATAGACGGGCAACTTCATAGCTTTCCATATGTCGGTGTGCAGATTACTCTTTTATTCTTTCTCATTACGCATTGCACTGCCCAACTTGTTTCATAGGAGCCTCCGTTCTGTGGAAGAACAATACTACAATATTCATAATGTCAATTTTAGACTGGATGTATGCCTTCACCGAGAGAACCAACCGTGCAAGATGCTAAATGAACTGCATCACCCTTATCAAGATGCCATTGACCAACGTATATGACTCCTAGTGAGCTGTGAATCCCCCATCAACTGGCAAAGCAACCCCCGTCACCAAGCTGGCATCATCGCTAGCCAGCACCACCGCCATCCGGGCAACATCATCTGGATGCCCAAATCCCTTAAAGGGCTGCTGCTGACGTAGTGACTCTATTACAGAGGGTGAAGCCTCCTCAAAATCGCGTATCATAGCTGTGTAGATTGCTATAGAGAATCATTAGTACAAGAACTGCCTCCCAATATCATCCAAGAGAAAACTATACCTCCAGGACAAATAGCATTCACATGAATCCGATCAGGGGCATAATCCAACGCCATCTGCCTGGTCAAATTGACAATAGCACCTTTGGACGCGCAATAAGCCGCTATACCCATGTTAGCTGAAATATTCAAATCGACGTCAGATCCTCAGGATACAGCATACGAGCACCTAGCGCTCCTACCAACCCCCATACCGAACCGAGGTTAATAACCCAGCCCCTATCACCTGACGAATGAGGCTCCTGCTTCAACATCTGCGCAATTGCATACTTGCAACCGAGGAAGATCGACTTCGTGTTCACCCGTAGGATCGTGTCCCAGACATGCTCGTCTGTTTCGTGAATTCGAGTCGGACTCCGCGCTTCAGTGGCAATTCCGGCGTTGTTGACTAAACTATACAGCTATTAAGCTATTCGCGTCCTAGTAGTTAGGGTACCAATATAGTGCGGAACTTACATATCCAGTCGACCGAACTCCGCTACTGCTGTTTTTACCGCTCGTTCCATTTGTTGGGCTTCGCCGACGTCTGTTTGAACGTAGATGGCTCGTCCGCCTGCTTCAATGATAGCATCGTGGGTAGTTATCTTGCCCTCTTCGGGGACTATGGGTCGAGCAGTTGGCGATATGTCTGCGCAGACGACGTGTGCACCCTCCTTTGCGTAGCGAAGGGCAATCGCTCTTCCCATTCCTGAGGAGGAACCGGTGATGAGGGCTACTTTGTTTAGGAGACGGGTCATGTTTGTGCTATAGAGTAATCAAATTACCTATCTACGAGACGACAATGTGGGATTGGGCCTGTAAAAGTCAGAAAGCTTTCAGATTCCAAGAGACGAATATGCAAGAGCCACTATTTGGAATGTCCAACCACTTCGAAGATATTCTTTCGATCCGCGGCATGAGCGGGGCAGTTAGATTAGGCCACGTTGATAAATGGGGCCGTACATACCGGACTGTATAAGCATTCCTAGATGCACTAATAGTGCATTTAGAATTTGGTAAGTATAGCACATTTGGTGTAGATAAGCCTTTGATATAGTCTATATCGATATATTGAATGTCAGATAGTCCGAGGCTACACCAAGTGCGGAATAATGTTTTGGTCCAATAGATAACATGCGTATTAACACTCTACATACAACCAACACACATTACGAACTCTCTCCTGAAGAATTACGGTCGCGCAATATATTCTTGGAAACTATCATAAGCAATAAACCTTCAAATAGCATAAGTTTAGGGCGGGGAATTCGGGACAGTATCACATATAGATCTCCCAGTTCGGTAAATGATTCATTCATGTCATAGCTCAAAACAGAATGATGTCCATACTTTGGTAGAGAAGTACGACTGACACAGGTTCTACTTCGATACTGTAAATGGTTCCGACGACTCTAGTGAGCGATGCGATCACAATAGACCCGGGCACTAATTACCTGCCCAACTTATAAGAGGCCACGTGGAGGCGGGAGATTTGGTAAAAGTGAGCAAATTGATTGAATTATCGGTAAAAATGCTCAAGTGGACGGATGAGGAGCTGGTATACGAAGTTCATGCAATTGTTACATAAGATCTACAGGGCCCTTGGGAACAACGGTCCCTCAAGTGGTCTTTCATATCGTACAACACGTATTAAGTCAATATTATATGCTATCCAAGGCAAAGCTGCGTATTTTTCTAAAGTTATAGACATCTGACCACAGATTATGACCACGTGGTACTCTTCAAAAGGACATAAGCAGCTGGAACCTCCATGCTGAAAAATCGATGGACAGCAGCGGCTTTCGTAGACTTTTGATGTAGGGTAGTTCCGATATGGTGAGACCTTGGCATCAGGATGCAGAATTCCTTAGTCATTCAGGCCGCAAGGTTTTCGTTACTCAGAGAAATGAGATAGATATAACTCAACATCCCACAGGCACAGGCCATGAGTGACGTGGAGACAGATGACCGCACGTTCAGTCCATAATGGCCAGAGACCAATCTTGCGGGGACCCCAAATACCCCACACTTACCAAACATGTTATACGATCAGCGACTGAATGGAAGAGCGTCGATATCGGTTAACGCGCACTTCTAGGGCGAGACCGAGCCGGTCCATGTCGCTTGGAATCCTGGCATATATATCGCAGGGATCTCCACCAACCTACCGTCCAACCCCGAATAGTCCGGGTCTTCGGCATGACAGTCAATCAGACGCCTCTCAAAAATGACGCATATCCACCGCGAAGCCTGTTACACTTCGACCTGCATATTAGGTATATACTCATTTCGCATAGACTCGGGGTGGGCTGTGGGCTTCTCGTTGCTTCTCGGCTAGGTTCGTAGGTCTCGGATACGGATAATATCATGCAACATATACCATAGACCATGCTTTGGTGTAAAAGTTGCCAAGTACATACACAGTATACCCAAAGGGTGTCAGTCCACCCATAACATGAACTGGCACGCGAACAACCTCCAGGCACCCGTGGAGAACAGTTGGGGTAGTGCTACGGAATTGGGGTAGAGAAAACCAGCCCGAGAAAATCGAGAAACTTGCCCGATCCGGCAGTCGCCTCACACGGCCTCGGCCTCGGGTGTCCTCCTTGAGTTTCAATCTCTACACCGAGTGGCAATTCTATTACTCTATCGCTTTCCTTCTCGCTCACAGTTGGTTTGGCCCTCGTGGCCAATAAGGACTCGCCTCAAGATGCGGGGGTGATGTTGGTCTGGTCCAGCACACATTCACACAGGAGATTTTAACCGATATGCTAAGACCTGAAGCCTAAAATACACGAAAATTAGGGTTTTGACCAAGAAATAAATTTTTCTTAGGATCGACACTAAATTAAGCCTCTGACACGGTTGCATCCAGAAGGTAAAAAATTAGACAATTTTTATTCTTCCGTTCAGTGCCGGTCTGACTAATACGGGCAAGCATAAAAATCAGGCCATGAATGTTATGAATTTTTTCTTCCCTTCCTCCTCTCTTTCCAGCGGCTTGGCATAGATAAGCGGGGAGAGAGGAAATCGATTATAACATAGCAAATGGTAATTGCATCGCCACCTGGGGAGATATGGGGGGCCTCTGGAGACATGCAATGAGAGCAGTGTAATTATAGAAAGGAAGACAATACTTTATTCCATGAGGAGCGAAGATCCTCAGGCAGGAACGGATTTCAACCGAATCCCTTGAGTAATGGAAAACGTCCCGAACCAATAGAAGGTCCGAACGGGTGCAAAGCTTTTCCAGGTGGGTCCAAACTGTTACTTAATTTGTTTCGATAACGATTCCCATTGGTGTTAGTGGGGCCTCCCGTCCACGGCCGCATGCAAGGTATGGATCCCTCGAGCTTGAAATCTGCGCCTATGAGATCCTCGCATTCGGGAAAGTTTCGGGAAACTGTATAAACCGTGACTAAATGCGTCGCCTGCAGCCCCCAAACGCGGTCGGGTTGGATGTCAGGAAAGTTTGCTGCTGCGGGTATATCTCTGCTGATAGAACACTGCAGGAATGCATGCAGCAGGGCGTATCGTGTGATATCACAGTTCCCCAGGTTCCTTGTTGGTTAGTCGAGAACTGGTCCTCGGACATACCTTGACGGCATTGGCCACCGTTAACTCCAGACTGACTTTGGCTTCCAAAGGGATCGCGTGGAGAGAACGGGATCTCAACGCCGTGACCCACCAGGGCTTGTGAGAATTTTCTCCCACCGCGGACTTCCTCAACAGCCTTTGCCCTTATCTCCCAGCCCCGGTGTTCGGCGGATGCGAGGATAGTCTTATAGCGTCTGCCACGGCCTCTTGGACTTCCTCTATTTCATCACTCTTGACCGTCTCTGTGTTCGACAGCAGAGGGTACCTTGGCTGTCTTATATACTTGACTGTCTTATACTCCCCATCTCTCGACGCTCCTCGCCCCGCAATAGTCGTGTCAAGATGTTGATGGAAGGCGTCCCTCCACCGTCCGACCCAATCGAGAACAAGCATGGCGACCCCATGTACGCGGATGATGATTTGAAGGCGGAGCTGGACAACACCCCTGTCGATGACCCATTTGGTAATGAGGCAACTGCGGAGGTCAAGTACAAGACGCTGAAGTGGTGGTAAGTTGCGGATCCCCCTGTATGTATCGGACAACAGTGACTTAGACTAACGTCTCAGGCAATGTGGAATGTGTATGTTTAGTCGTCGAATGAGACCCGTCGAATCTGCAGCATAGCTAACAATACTAGTCATGATTGCCGAATCGGTCTCCCTTGGAGTCTTGTCCCTTCCTGCTACTCTTGATACGCTGGGCTTTGTTCCGTGAGTCCTCTCACCATATTGCGTCTACAACCTGATTCTTACAATTCGTCGATAGGGCGCTCATCCTGATTGTCGGTCTTGGTATTCTCGCTCTCTACACTGGAATGGTCATTGGCCAATTCCGCGAGCGGCACCCGCACATTCACAACCTTGCTGATGCCGGTGAAATCCTCATGGGTCGGTTCGGCCGTGAACTATTCGGCCTGGGCCAGATCCTGTTCTCCATCTTTATCATGGGTAGCCACATTGTCACCTTCACCGTCATGATGAACACGATCACCGAACATGGCACCTGCTCCATTGTCTTCAGTATTGTGGGCATGGTGATCTGTTTGGTCCTGTCACTGCCCCGTACGATCAAGAACATGACCTACATCTCCATCGCCTGTATGTCTTCCTATGGAACCGGAATAGAAGTCCAAAACAATAGACTAACCAATCCCTACAGCCTTCATTAGCATCTTCTCCGCAGTCATGATCACCATGATCGGCGTCGGTGTCCAATACAAGGGCGGCACCAACATCTACGCCACCCAGCAGACAAACATCTACCACGGCTTCACTGCCGTGACCAACATTGTCTTCGCCTACTGCGCGCACGTCGCCTTCTTCGGTCTGATCGCCGAAATGGAGGAACCCAAGGACTTCAACAAGGCTCTGTGCCTGCTGCAAGGCTTCGAGATCGCCCTCTACGTCACCGCCGCTACCGTCATCTACTACTACGTCGGCACCGGCGTCGCCTCTCCTGCTCTCGGGTCCGCCGGCCCCGTGCTCAAGAAGGTCGCGTACGGTGTGGCCATCCCCACCATCATCGGTGCCGGTGTCGTCAACGGCCACGTCGGTCTCAAGTACATCTATGTTCGCATCTTCCGGAAGTCTGGCCGCATGGCTAAGCGCGACTTCGTCTCCGTTGGTTCCTGGGTTGCTATTGGCGTGACCTGCTGGATTATCGCTTGGATTATCGGAGAGGGTATTCCTAGCTTCACCAATATTGTTAGCTTGATTGTATGTGGTTCTCTTGTGGCACCCTTGCGTCGGTATTTGGAGAAGATGATATGTGCTAACAGATACCAAAAACAGAGTTCCTTGTTCGCCAGTTGGTTCACCTACGGTCTCAGCGGCGTGTACTGGTTGCACATGAACTGGGGTTATTGGTTCTCGTCTCCTCGCAAGATTGCCCTCACCATCCTTAATTTCTTGATTGTTGGTATTGGTGGTACTATTGTATGCAACCCTTTCTCCACCCTCTCACGTCTTAAAAGTTAGGAGTATACTAACTGTCATCTCACAGTGCGGTCTGGGATTGTACGCCTCCGGCAAGGCGATCCACGACGACAGCTCTCGGGCCAGTTTCACCTGCGCCAATAATGCGGACTAGGCTTTGACTTTACTTACGGCATTAATTTATCTGTCTGGTTTTTCTTCGCTTATGGGTTGGGTTTCTGTTTCAGCGTCTGACGATTTGCGATATATTGTACGGATGATCTACGGCTGATTCTGATGGTCATGTATATACTATAGACTTGCATTGAGCGTGTTGTTCTAGATGTCGGTGTTTATTCTTTTGTGTCTTCTTGTATAGTGGTCTAGAGATATAAATATGTTGATATTGTTGTTCGGACTACGGCGAATATGTTGTGGTTGGGCTATAATAGACTTCGATATAGACCCGTACTGTTATATTAATCTATTTCAAACTGGTCTATTTGCCCCTTACCATGAATCCTGCGTTCGTGATTATTCGCCAGTCATAGCAAGGATCGGCATACAATTTCTCTGCCCGTGGTCCGGTGATATATCACACGGCCGTTGCATGACAGGTCCTCGTTGTTTTTGCCAGACCAATAGAGTAGATTTAACCGTTGTGCTGATGATGGATGTAGTAACCTCCCCCTTTCCATCGGTCGCCATTCCGGATGTCGATCTTTGGAGTTTTCTCTTCGAGCGAGCTGATCGGCCATATCCGGCTGATAAAGGTACGTTCGGCCCGAGAACAATCTGCGCGGCGGATTGTTGGTTGACTCTCCAGTTCTGTTCACCGCCGCCGACACTGAGCGGTGTCTCACGTATACGCAAATCCGCCAACGGGCGCTGACCTTCGGCCACTCCCTGCGTCGAAAATGGGATTGGCAGAAAGGCGATGTTCTAGTCGTCTTCACCACGAACTCAATCGATGTGCCGCCCGTCGTTTGGGGTACCCTTGCCATCGGCGGCGTGGTCTGTCCGGTGAACCCTAACTACCGCGCGGAGGAGCTGCTGCATCCCTTACAAGATAGCGAGGCCAGGGCTCTCGTAACACAGCGGGCTCAAGCGACGGTGGCCTTTCAGGCTGCCAAACGGGCTGGTCTCCCCCGCGACCGTGTGATAGTTCTAGATGAGCTAACAGAAGATGATCTCGACCATGGGAGAGTGAATGGGCCACATTCGGCCCCGATTGACCGTCCAGCGGAGGATTTGGCTTTCTTAGTCTACTCATCCGGCACGACCGGACTCCCCAAGGCTGTGATGCTTTCGCATCGCAACATGATCGCAAACTTGCTGCAGACTGCATCGGTCGATAACGGCGTGCTGGCATGGAATGGAGGCATGCACGGCGAGGGCGATAGCACCCTGGCTTTGTTGCCTTTCTTTCATATCTATGGTATTTATCATCCATGCACGTTAAACTCAAACAGACCTGATATCCTGAATAGGCATCACATATCTTCTCAACCATACCGTGTACCTCGGTCTATCGACATTCGTCATGCCCAGATTTCAATTCGATCCATTCTGCGCCGCCATTCAGAAACATCGAATCACCTACGCATATGTTGTTCCGCCGATCATTCTAGAACTGGTGTCTAATCCTCGTATCACTGAGTATGACCTCAGCTCGCTGCGGATGATGCTCTCCGCTGCTGCGCCGCTGGCGGTGGAGTTAATCCAAACTTTGCATCAGAAGCTCAATATCAACGTCCGCCAGGCGTACGGGATGAGTGAATGTGCTCCATGTACGCACATGCAGGTAATTATTGAGTGCCAGACAATAACTTTGGGCCGCAACTAATGATTGTTCTAGACCTGGAACGAGACACACACCCACCTGGGCTCCGTTGGTCGTCTTCTCCCGAATATGACTGCCAAGTATGCCCCGGTTGAGGGGGAGACAGGACGGCCTAAAGAGCTCTGGGTCAAAGGACCGAATGTCTTTCTTGGATATCTGAATAATCCGAAGGCCAACGGTGAATCCTTTTCTGAAGATGGATATTACAAGACTGGTGATGTGGGATACGAGGATGAGAGTGGCCACTTCTACATCACCGACCGAGTGAAGGAGTTGATCAAGTATAATGGTTTCCAGGTGGCACCGGCTGAACTCGAGGCCATCGCGCTATGGCATCCTGCCATCGCAGATGTAGCTGTGACGGGGATCAAGGACGGCCAGTCGGGGACAGAACTGCCCCGAGCATATGTGGTTGTGGCGCCGGGATACGAGGGCAGCCAGAACACAGCTGATGCTATATATCAGTATGTGAGTGATCAGGTGATAAATTATAAGCGCTTGCGTGGAGGAGTGCGTTTTGTGCCGGCTATTCCACGAAACCCATCCGGGAAGATCTTGCGACGAGAACTCAAGAAGTTGGATCGAGTGGTCAAGCTGTAGCTTCCATGCTTCATTGCCCACTTGTGGATTGTATAGCTCTAATGTAGAGAAATAGAGAGCATTGTGTCCGGAGGAATGTTCCGTAGAAAATCATAACTCACAACCCATTGAGTTATGAATGCAGAATGAAGGGAGCATTAAAGAAGTGGGCGGCGATCATTGGACCCTAACACATGACCCCCGCACACTCGATAGTCACGCTAATCCTTATTCGGCAGTCCAAGACTCGGATCCATCAAGATGGAGAACCTTAGGCCAACACTATTGGTCTTCAACCTTTCATGGGCGTGTCCTATTCCCTACTCATATTCCCGATTCTTACCTCGGTACCCCGACTCAGCTGCATATCCCTAGCGTTGTCAAAAATGGACCCCCTCAGCTCATGCGAGGCAAACATCACCTGCACGACGTTTCACCCAAACTTGCCAAAATGACGGGGTTCCAAGCAGGTCGTTCGGTCGGAAACCATGACTATACGTCCTCTACCGTAGTGATTATAGGGGCGGGCATATCTGGTACTACCTGACGATATTCTCGTGGAGCGGCTGCAGAACAACTGGTTAACGGACTCATAGGCCTCTGTATGGCTATTGATGTTATCAAGCGAAGCCAATGCCGTAACATCGTCATTCTAGAGAAAGGCAGCCAGGTCGGAGGGACCTGGAGTGATAACAGATACCCTGGATGCGCCTGTGACAGTATGTGCATCATGAGTTCCGGTCGTTCATTAGCTTGTACTAAACAATTGCCAGTCTGGAGTACGTTGTACAGCTTCTCCTTTGAGCAGAAGACCGATTGGACGAGAGAGTATCCAGGTCAGGAAGAGATTCGGGTACGTTTATGTGAATCGATCGTGCCCGGCTTCCATCTAACGCGCCCAGGACTATCTCCTTCACGTCGCGGAGAAATATGGTCTCTATAAATACATCCGCTTCAACACAACCGTGCAAGAAGCTCGCTGGGATGACAAACAGCTCAAGTGGAAGGTCAGCGTGGCCACATCGGGGGCTAAAGACACACAGTTACACGAGTCATACGACATCACCACCGACTTCCTGGTATCTGCAGTCGGTCAGCTCAATGTGCCAAGTTGGCCCTCTATTCCCGGTCTCGACGACTTCACCGGCAAATTGATGCATTCTGCCCGGTGGGACTGGACATATGATTTCACCGGAAAACGCGTCGCCATCATTGGAAATGGTATTTAGTGTCCTTTTCATTTCCAAATCATAACTGTCATGGTCGTTGGATTAACTTATTTAGGCGCCACTTGCGCCCAAATCGTCCCCGAACTGGCTAAATCGGTCTCGCAAGTCACGGTGTACCAGCGGACCCCCAACTGGGTCATCCCTCGGTATGATACGAGTGTCTCGTCTATTCAAAGATTCTTGCTCTCCTACGTGCCACCCATCCGCTGGTGCAAACGCGCCCTCATGATGCAAGCTCGCGAGTTCAGCCATGATGCTATCGCGAAGTCCGACTCGGCAATGGCAGGGTTAATACGCAAAATGGCCATCAATGCCATGAAAAGCCAGCTGTGTGATAAGCCCGAGCTGTGGGACAAGCTGACCCCAGATTACTCGCCTGGCTGCAAGCGTGTCATTCCATCGGACGACTACTTCCCCGCATTGAACCAGAAGAATGTGCATCTCGAGACACGACCGATCCAGCGCGTTACCGAGTCTGGAATCGAAACAACTGATGGCGCCCTCCAAGAATATGATTTCATCGTTGCTGCGACGGGATTCCGCTCAGTCGAGTTTATGCATCCGATCCAGGTGTACGGGCGAAACGGACGTCCGGTGTCAGATGTATGGAAGGATGGGGCTGCAGCCTACTACGGTGTCACAGTTGAGGACCTCCCCAACTTTGGCATGCTATACGGACCGAACACGAATCTAGGTGAGCGGAACACAACCCTTCTCTTGTGGGAATCTTGGGCTCATCGTGTACAGGACATAACTCGATCATTTTGATGATTGAGGCACAGTCGCGTTACCTGACCACGCTGATCGGTGAGGTCGTGCGTGCCAAGGCTCGTAGCGACTCGCTGGTCTTGCAGCCCCGGGCAGATGTAGTGGCTGCGTTCAATGATCGCCTCCAGAAAGAGTTAGAGGGTAGTACCTTCGCCGACCCGCAGTGCCATAGCTGGTATAAACTGGAAAATGGTCGGATCACCAACAACTGGCCCGGCCGGGTGGTCCAGTATCAGAAGGACTTGTCACGGGTGCAATGGGAGGATTACCTCGTTGAGGGGACGGGCAAGTCCGTGGTGGAGCGCAAGAAAACGACCAATATCGGTCGCGTCCAGGAGGAATTGCCTGTTCGTTCCTCAACATTGGTGCTGGGCGCTTTGGGAGCGGTCCTTGCGGTGGGCGGGTACTATATGAATGGACCGAAGGCTTTGCTGCAGCGACGCCGTTGACCATTTTTCGCTTTCTACATATCCTCTATGGCACTCAGATTGTTCAGCACATATTCGCGAGTGGTCCACCGTTCTCCGTCTCGGTTATCGGAAGTAAATAGCGTGTTAATTTCATGTTACATATTCACCAATTTCACATTGTATCCGCTGTCTCACTTGGTCAATCCATGTCCACGGACTGCTGCAGGGGTTTTGGCATGGGATGTTGGTATGCAGCATCGTAATATGAGTTAGCAAGGGATCATTCAGTGCTCTTCAGGCGGAAATGAAACTCGTGTAACTTTTCCACGGCATGGCGCTTGCCTAGGGAATTCACATCAGATCTCATCCATGAGGACGTTCCTGCAGTATCCCGGTTCGGGCCTTGATCAGATAACTTTAACCTGATGAGATGGGGCTATATTTAGATATGTTCGGGTCGTTTACGCAATGTGATGTTGCAATTTTGACAATGGATGTTTGGATGTCCAGAGCATCTGCAATGATGGATATATATTTGCGAAGTTACTGGAGTATCCTCGTTAATCCCCGTTGCACTTCCAGTTCTCGAACAAGTTCCAAGTAAATTCCCTTCCGAGGATAGATTTTGCATATTGCCTGTGAAGTTCGTGCATGTCATACACATCTATTTCGATAGAGACAATCTATCTCGAATCGTATACTCCATACCATACAACTGACAGAATCTTTGATTTTCCCATGACGATTACCTAATACAGGCTTCGACCAAACCAGGCTAGACTAGTACCAAATCGAGCGACTAAACTAAACTCTAGCAGGCGAAGGACAACGTGTCCCGACGGCGGGACAAGACACCAGACCATTCCAATTATAACTCGACTAAAAGCCACAATTTCATTCATGTTTATGCATGCCGGCATTTGGATGATTCGTATGTGTAGTACGACTAACTCCACAGTAAATCGATATAAACTGAACAAAGCGAAAAAGAGATAGTTGCCCCCAACTCAACTCAACAAAACTCAAAAAAAAAAAAAAAAAAAAAAACAAAAAAAAAAAAAAAAAAAAAAAAAAAAAAAAAAAAAAAACAAAAAAAGAAAAAGGAAAGATATTCAAGAAAGGGAAAGAAAGACCGATCGACCTTGTCGCCATCAACCGGCAGAAAGGGTTGATTTGATACCAATGAGAGTGGCTGGTTTTCTCCGTCCGTTTGCCCCTTTTGTCGGATGGTCGCCGAAGACAGAAAGTTTTTGGGAGGGGGTAAAATTGAGGTGGAGAAGGTGGTTTGAAGTCCTGTTTTTATTTCAATATTGTCTTTCAATTATTTGATTAACGTGTTTGATTATAGTTTACTTTACTCCGTAGGTATGAACTGTGTCTTACGGTCGGAGATATTTTGGGGGGGTGACTTGCTTATTGTTGTGTTGCATTGCATTGCATGTCGGGTAGGGTTGGATTGAATTCACTGTGGTTAAATGAAGTGAAATAGTCTGTGCATCTTTGTCATTGAATAGAGAGTATTAGTACTTTATCAAGGTAGAAAGTAAACCTTGATATACGAGCTCATGAAGCAAGTGGTCTCGTGATGCCATGTGGCACCCAATGGCACGAGGAACCCCGGAGCTTAGCTTGGACGATGTTAAATTGAAGCTTGTTGCTGTTCTCATCTTCGAGTCCATGGCTAAGGTAACATTGTAGTGGGGTTGAAGCTGTCAGACTCGTTTCAATGATGTTATCTCTTGATGTCAGCACTGCCTCTCTGACGTTTCATATATGGATCGTGACAGCTCTTTTTTATACAAGAGACAACCGTGGTCGAGGAACTCCTCCGGATGTTGTGTTTCCAACTGCCAACAGTTCCATGCCAAGACGGGGGCCAAAAAAGAGCCTTGAAACGCCAGGATGGAGACGACGAAAGCGAATTGGCCCATTCGCTTCCTCTTCCGTCTGAGACAAGTCCGACAACTTGGCACTTGGCAGTGGCTGTTGGGAACTCGGGAGGTAGTATTTTCTTTCCGTACATGTCACTTACATACAGTACATACATGCTGATACTGACAATACCGTAGTAGATGGCACTATTAGGACTAATTTAGTCGTGGGTTCCATTTTACCCCCTTTTTGATAGCAGTAATTCACCTGTCTCTGCGTGTGTGTGTGAGAGACCACTTGAGGGACCTCAGACACCGGACAAATTCACGGAGATATAATGGGTACAGTCCATCACAAAGAGACCAAGGAAGAACAAAGAGAGGGAGAAGGGTTGGGGAGGGATGGATTTGTACCCGCCACACAACTGGATCGACGGTTAGATCCCAGGGCTGCCCGACTGGGCTGAATCCCACGATTGATTTTGCCGAGGAACTGTTGCCTGTTCTCTGGGCACCGCAGGGTGTCATCACGAACCAACCAGGATGTCCTTCCATATCCTGTTCCCCATATCTGATAAGGCAATCAGAGGCTCGCAGGGTCTCCTCCAACATGGAGAAGCCAGACGCTAACGCACGGTCAGCCCGTCTGGTTCTGCTGTCAAACCAGTCAGAATGCCATGTATCACGGCGGTGCTGTTAGTCTGGACCCTGGTCCAGATGATGTATTCCTGATCTACTACTCCGTACAGTGTACAGTATAGTTACCCTGAACGGAACCGACGGAACAGAGCGCTCGTGATGTCACTGGGTTGAAAAGGTGGAGAGAGGTGGTCTGAGACCCCTTCCTGAATGAGTATCGATATCACGATGGTCGATCCTGAAAAAAAAAAAAAAAAAAAAAAAAAAAAAAAAAAAAAAAAAAAAAAAAAAAAAAAAAAAAACTTAAAATATACGGAGTAAGCAGAAATATGAATGAACTATCTGTCTATACTCTAGCAAGTTGAGTCGATAAATATAGCATCTTCACCGGGAGGTTAACGGTTAACCATCCTCTCCGCAAGCTGACAGTGAGACATCCTTTCTGTGCTGCGAAGTGGATCTCTGGATCTTAATCATCGGTACGGAGTACAGTGCATATTTTACTACTACTCCAGAGTACATACACAGTACGGAGTACAGAGTGCAAAGCAAGAAAAAGGAAACCCAATGGAAGAAAAAATGGAAGCCCTGCGGGTGGCACTAAGTCCTAAACAGTCGACTCCGGGGAACGCCGCCTGCAGGTGGGCGCGGATGGCGGATCCATTGATTGGTGACCATGGGTACTCGGGTCAAGACCCCAAATGGAAAGTGATCACTTGCTCCAGGGAAAGTTGACCGTGTGTCACATTGCCTCTTCCATCTTAGCGGCATACCCGAAATAAATTACATCCCCAATTCATCCATTCCTTGAGGGGCTTGCCATGTAACCTCGACATTTTTCCTGACAGAATTTCACCTAGTGCGACACCCCTCTGTCATGTTGTCAGACTAACTACTAGTACTTCGTAGCATCAGAGTCAACTAAGCTATTGTTCCATCCGCTGTCGACGGTCAAGAACGTTTTCTATCAACCGTCGGACGGATGAATTCCAAACTTTTTACACTGGATTCCTTCTCCTGTTTCACAACAGACGGCAAGAAAATGCACCGCCAGGGTCTTCGGTCTTGGCGCTGGGATTGATTGGTCGCCATGCCCCAGCCCTGTAGGTCGAGGGGCTAAAACAAACAGCATTCGCCAATGATATGACTGAGGTAAGGTGGGTCCAGGGATCAAAAAGGGTCTAGCAAGGAAAGGGGTCTTGTGGACCAGTGAGAAGAGACAGTTTCACGAAAGACCAAAGAATAATTCGGTACAGCAAATAGTGAAATGTATGGAAAAATCGGAAACAAAAAAAAAAAAAAAAAAAAAAAAAAAAAAAAAAAAAAAAAAAAAAAAAAAAAAAAAAAAAAAAAAAAAAAAAAAAAAAAAGAAAATTTCAAATGCAATTTCATTTTAATTGATTGTAAAAACAAAAAAGTGAAAGGCAAAAAAAAAGAAGAAAAGTTAAGGCAGACAGGGCTGTGCGGCTCTATTGTTAGTGAATGGACCCGTAAGAAATCTCGGTGTATTTTTGGAAAATTCCGTTCTGGTACGGGTCAAAACCATGCAGTGGTGATGATGTTTCTTGTCTCCTCATTACATATGTCGACTTTCTTTCTCTCTCTCTCCACAATCCATTGCTTTCTCTCTTTTCTTTCCCTTGCCTTCTCGTCTTTGCTGACTACTAACTGATCGACTGATTTACTTCTTTCTTTCGGATTCCCTTCTTTTTTTCCCCCTTCTATCTTTCGACTGTCTGTTTATCCTTAACTCGATTTTGGCCTTTTCTTGTTTTCTTTCCCTTTCCCTCACACCCCTCCGGAAATTACAACCACGCCAGCGTTTCCGATGGGCATCTCTTCATAACTCCTTTTTCTGGTGGCCGAAGTTGGATTGCGCTTCTATATTCAAAGAAACCTTTTTCCTTGCCATGTGGTGATCGCTTGGACCGCTAGATTAACGTCATGAAGCTCGCCAACACTCTACACGCCCTCCGCCATCGGTGGGTTCCCGTCTTCCACAAACTGCGGTCCTCGCCCGGGGAGGCATTCGATCTCTTCTGGGAATTTGCTCGCCGATATTTCTTCTCCCTCTCATTCATCTCGCTGTTTGGCGCCAAATTCCTTCATCTCTTCGCCCACCTGCACTCCCTCCCGCCGAGCAAGTTTATCCTCTGGGGCGTTACATTCTTCTTTCAAGATGTCATGATCTTGCTATTGTTCCGGACCCTCGCTCAGAGGGTCCCGTGGCGGTCCCTGGCCGTCGTGGGCGCGACCATCGTCATTCCGATCAGGTGCGTGTATCTTGATAGGTTGCTCTGACTGGACAGTTCTGAAATTAACGATCTTTTTCGCTGCCAATAGTTTGATGATGTCCGGAATGATGGCCTCGAATACCTCGTTCTACGTCGTGACCGGTGCCGAAATCCACTGGCGACAGGCCACATCCTTCCATGCCGACGCCGCCGCCATGCGGACCCTCCTGGAGGGATTGGCCGGTTTTCTCGTTGTGGAAGGTATTCTGCTGACAGTGAACTGGTTCGTGGCAGGATTCATTCATCGAATGACGGGTGGAATTTTGCACGTGTTGGCCTGGCCCATCCGCGTGTTGGTGGAGCGTCTGCGACCCTGTTTCCATCGCGCCTATGGTAGTGTCAGGCGCCAACCACTTCCGGACCCGGAGATTTACGAACAGATTGCGGTCGATGACTACCTGGACGCTAAGAGTGATGATGGAGAATCGGACCACCTGCTGAACACCGGGACTGGTAGCACGACCTCGACGGAGCGCAGGCGGACGGACACTCCTATGCGTCGATTTGTCGTGTTGGGTCTGTTTGGCTTGTTCCTGCTCCTCCGCTTCCTTCGTCCCTGGGCGCCGGCGTACATGTATCTCTCGGGCACCTTACCGTTGACCCCGTTCTTGGAGGGTGGACACCGGAAGTCTCCGGTGGACACGACGGCCTTACCGGGAGATTATGCCTGGCTAGAGGAGCGCTCATCCTTGCACCCTGCGCCGGGTTGGGACTGGATGCCGCAGAAGGGACTTCCCGGATTCTCTGATTGGGACAAGACCGACCGTTTTGCCCTTCACTACACACCGAGTATGGACCCTTTACAAATTTCCAACCGGGACAACCCAGTCCTCGATTCCATTCGACCCGTGCTCGAGGACGGCAGTGTTAAGATCAAACACGTAATCATGCTGAAGCTTGAGAGTACTCGCGGCGATGTCTTCCCCTTGAAGAAGGACTCGTTCATGTGGAATCGCATTGCGGAATCCCACAAGGATAAGCAGATCCCGCCCGAGATCCAGGAGCGTCTTTCCAACCTGACTCGCACCGCCGAGTGGCTGACCGGGTTTGACGCCGGATTCGAGCATAACGATTCGCTCCACGCCGACCGGAAGGCGTACGGCGGTATTAGCGCGCGCAACGCTCACACGACCGGTACCTACACGCTGAAGAGCTTGGTGGGTACGCTGTGCGGCGTGACCCCCCTGGTGACCGACTTCAACCGCGAATACAAACACCATATTTACCAGCCGTGCCTGCCTCACGTATTTAATGCGTTGAGCCAGCAACACGATATTACCAACCAGACGGACGACTTTACTGCGTGGCCGTGGCACTCCGTGTGGATGCAGTCGGTGACTGAAACCTACGATAACCAGGATAAACTGACTCCGGCTCTGGGCTACCATGACAAGGTCACCAAGGAGACGCTGGAAGACCCTAGCTCGAAGCACTACCCGGTCAAGTCGGAGGAAATCAACTACTATGGCTATGCGGATACCGAACTGCGGGATTACATTCGCGATGCGATCGATGATGCGGAGGCCAGCAACACTCGCCTCTTCCTCACCCATCTGACCGGCACCACGCATCATCCTTGGGGAATGCCACATGATGAGTATGAGGAGTTCTTGGGATCGTCATGGACCGGACACAACAATGACGTTAACCGCTACCTGAATACGATCGGATTCGGCGACAATTGGATCGCTGAGATTATTAGCATTCTGGAGGAGAAAGGCATTGCGGATGAGACGTTGATTGTCATGGCCGGTGATCATGGGCTGTCACTGCCGAACGACGGCGGCGTCACACCCTACGACAATCCCCATGTCGGCAGTTTCCACGTTCCCATTGTGTTTGCGCACCCGAAACTGCCTCCGGTCGAGGTTTCTACCCCGGTGAACAGTAATCAGATTGTTCCGACCATTTTGGACTTGCTGATTGAATCGCGGTCGTTGAGCGAAGGCAGCGGCCGTGCGGCGCGCGACATTCTATCCATGTATGAAGGACAGTCCATGCTCCGCCCCTTGATTCAAGAACAGGACGGAAAGCAGAACTGGCAGTTCACCGTCATGAACACTGGCGGTTCTTGGCTGGCAGTGCGTTCGGCGGCGCGACCGGCGTTCCGTCTGGTCATCCCATTGGTCGACGATCTGGAGTGGCGATTCACCGATCTGGAGAAG